GCCTGACAACTCGACGCGGCGCTGGGAGGTCCAGGCGCGTGCGACGCCCCGACCAAAGCATCTCCACGAGAGCAGGGAAATCGAGTTGACATTCCAACCGTGAGCGCGGGTTCCCGTCCTCCACCGCGCGCCGCACCGGCATGCGTGACAGACAGAAAAGCTGCTATCTGGGCCCCGACAGAGACGCTCGGGGCGGGGGGCGGCCCATCCAGATCAGAGACGCGCGCGGTCATGGCCTTGGCCTTGGCACAAAGCGATGACGCGAGAAGCGAAATCGAAGGAAACGTTCCCCATCTTTAGACGGGCCTGCTCGATGGGGCCCAAGGCGCAGTGACCCATGGGGCGATCCAAATCCCGCAGTGGCCGTCGCAAGGCCCGGGCCAACGCGGCGCGCGGAACCCAGAGAAAGTCGCCTGCGACCGGGCTGCCCAGGGGCGATCCCGATCCGATTTATTCGAACGCGCAATGCAGGGGCGCGCGGCAAATCAAAATAACAGGACCGCGAAGCCTCGGGCCCTGAGGGCATTGGACACCTGCCACGCGCCCCCAAAAAACTCGAAAACAAGATGACAGGGCGCCTGAACTTTGGAGCTTCCGGCTTGACCTGGGCCGGCGACGCTGCGGCGGCCCTGCGACGATCAATGCCTGGGCGGGCGCCCAGAGCAGCGCCCGCGCGGGCGGGGCGCGCTGCGCGCCGGGGCCGAACTGGAAGATCCCCTCCAGGCTGGCGTGCACCACCCGCCCGAGGGCGAAGACCCACTCCGGCGCCGTCGACGCTGCGACCTGCAGGTCCGCCTCCTTCGCGTGCGCCGCCCGGCGCCAGCGCCTCTGGGCCCGCCCCAAGGTCTGGCGCCCCTCCAATAGGTCCCAGCTCGCCCATCCGCGCCGCGAAGCGTAGAGGGTCGGGTCGTGCGGCCCCATCTGCGGGAGACTGGACTAGAACTGCTTGAAGCGCCCCCTGAGACAGGGCGGGGCGAATTCCCAGAGGCTCTGCTCAAGGCCCGCGGCGGACCTCGGCGCGGCGAGCAGCGGCCAGAGGTGGAGGTCGCGGTCGATCACCGCGCTCTCGCTGTAGAGCCCGGTCTTCCCCAGTCGCCCTTGGCCCGCGGGGGCGCAGCAGCAGGGCCCAGCTGCCCGCCGAAGCCGCGGCCGTCGAGGCTGGCGGGGTCGATCAGCGACGCGCCGCGGAGGCCCCATTGCGTCGCGGACGACCTGAGGTAGTAGCTGAACGCAAGCAGGATCCACGCTGCAACGCGGCGCTTCTAACTAACGAGCAGTAGAACTGCCGGTGTGGCAATGGCGAAGCACGGCACGGGGGTGCCCTTGTCGTGGCTGGCACGCGACGCGCCTCAGCCGCCCCGCCGAGCTCCTCGCGGCGGAGGTCCAGCGTGAAGTGCCCCAGCGCTGCCGGCAGCAACGCGCCTTGGCTCGAGGGAACCTCTAGCGCGAACTGGCGGTTCAGGAGCTGCGTCGCCGCAGCGCCCGGCGTGTCCAGGCCCTGCCGGTCCAGGCTGCGGGCGGAGCACAACGCGGCGAAATCCGCCAGCACTCTGGCACTCGTCCTCTGCGGCTGGCTTGATCGCCAGCGTCGCCCGAGGGCCCGGCGGCGCCCGCGGCAGCCTCTCGGCCATAAAACGCGTGGCCAGCGCAGAGCGCCCGGCCCGGGCGTCGACCGCCGCCAGAGCTGTGCACCGCGCAAGTAGGCGCGACACCGCCGGGCCGAATCCGGCCGCGTGTCTCCGCCCGGCAGCAATGCTGGCCGCGCGGGGCCCCGCCGTCGGCGGCGTTCGAAAACCGCGCGTGCAACTCGGGACTGAGCGTCTGCGGGATCGCGCCCCGACGGAATCCACCTGCCATGCGAGCGAAACCCCGCGGCGAGCGACATCATGCATCTGTTTACATCGGTAGCTGAAACCCGGAAAGTGCCCCTTTGTCGCGGCGAGGCATGGTGGCAGTTGGTCGACCAATGCCAGAAGCGTCTTCCCCACACGTGCTGATGATCGCAAAAGAACTTCGCCGGCAACTATCAGGGCGCCCGCCTCGAGCAACAAGATGTCGAGCCCCTCGGAGACCTTCGGCGGGCAATGGGCCCGGCGCGTTGGAACCCACCTGGCGACCTCGCCGGCGCTCGCCCGGCACGCGCAAGTCCAGCTTCCGTGCCGAACATGGGGCACACGTCACAGCGCGGAGGCGGGCGTCAACCGCTCCAGCAGCAGCACCTGCGACGGGCGCGCCCGCCCCTGGGCCGAGGGCGGGGCCCCGACCATGTCCGGAAGGGCCGGCGCAGCTGCGGCGGCCGCCCCGGCCGCAGCAGGCTGCGCCAACGCCGCGGACAGACCGGCGACCCCGACGGCCATGCGGCCGCGCCGGCCCCTGCGATTGTAGGACTTGCAGCGGGCGCCAGGGTGCCGGGGGGCGGCTGGCGGGGCCGCGGGCGCAGCCACGGTCAGCACGATGGCGGGGTGGCCAGCGCCGACGAGGCTAGGCAACGCGGTGGCCCTGGGCGCCAGCGCCACGCCGAGGCGCGCGGCGGCGACTGTCAGCAACTGGCTGATCCTCGTCTGCGAAGGCACGCCGCGGAACCCGTCCACGTGGGCGCCTGCGGCCGCAGCGGGGCATGCACCCATGTGGCCGCCGTCGCACGGCAGCCACCGCAGCGCGTCCGCAACGCCGAAGGGGTCCTCCTCGCAGCTGTCGTCGTCCGGCGTGAGCGTGCACACCAGAGCTGCACCGGCGGGCGCGAGCACGATTAGCGCACTCTGCAGGGTACCCGTGGGCGGCGAGCGGTTGCGCGGCTGGCGCTGGCAACGCCGCCGCTATCCCGCTTCTGCGTCAGCTGCGGCTTCCTGGCGCGCAGCCCGACAGGCGACGGCGAGGAGTTCCGCGGGCGCTGGCGCTGGCAAAGCAGCTGCCGAGAGGCTGAGGCCTGGAGCTTCCAACCTCGGGACGGCGGGCCAGCTGGGCGGCGCCGCGCGCCGGCCGCCGCGCCAGCGACGCCGGCGCCGCCCACCAAAGCAAACACTACTGCCATCACGGGTGCGGCCCCCCAGGGGCGAGTCTCGGTGACCGGGCAGCCAGGGCACGCGAGCCGCGGCCCGCATCTGCGCGAGCAGCACGCGGGACGCGGCGTGCAAGCCGGGCAGGCTGGGCATTACGAGCCCCAGGCCGCGAAATGAAATGGGCCAGCTGGTCCATGCGCGAGCGCACGTGCCAGAACGCCTGTGGGGCCTCGGAGCTTGCGCCAAGGCACCCGCGGAGCGGTGCGGCCACCTCTAGCTCCCTCCTCGCTTCTCGCGCTTCTCGATGTGAAAGTTGACCGTCAGAAGTGAGAACCCTGCGATCAACATCAACATCAGAAATCAACAATCAACACTAACAACAACCAATCAACATAAACCATCAACATCAACATCACAAGCACCGTCACCATCTTAACCATAATTGTCATCGTCATCATCAACATCATCATCATCAGCAGCATCAACATCACCATCACCATCTACAGCACCATAAGCATCACCATGGCCATGGCCATGACCATGACCATGACCATCACCGTCACCATCACCATCACCATCACCATCACCATCACCATCACCATCACCATCACCATCATCATCATCATCATCATCATCATCATCATCATCATCATCATCATCATCATCACTAAAACCATCAAGATCATCAGCACCAGCACCAACACCATCATCCTCATCAGTCACCACCATCGTCAGCAACAGCAGGATCATCAGCATCATCACCAGCATTATCCTCAGCGACAGAACCAGCACCAGCACCACCATCACCATCATCACAAACAGCATCAGCACCAGACCCATCATCATCAGTCATCATCATCATCATCATCATCATCACCACCATCACCAACAACATCATCAACACCAGCACAAGCACCAGCACTGGCCCTACGATCATCAGTCATCATCATCATCATCATCATCATCATCATCATCATCATCATCATCATCATCATCATCATCATCATCAGTCACAATCATCACCACCAACATCATCACCTACAACATTGTACCCTCCAGTCACCAGCCATCATCACCAGCCATCCTCATTCCCCCTCCGTGCCTGCTCTCGCCCTTCTGCAGTCGCTACTGCTGCAGCCTCTGATTCTGCTGCTCCCGCCCGACGCCCGCCCCCCCTCCTCCACTCCCCCTGCTGGGCCGGGCGGCCCCACTATTGTGACCAGAGGCTGCTCCAGACTACCGCAGCTACGATGTGGGAATAGACAGCGGCGATCGAGCGCCTCTGGCCACCTGGGGTTCAGAACACCCAGAACGCCCCAGCGGGGCATCGACGAAAACTATTCAGCACCACAACCAGCATGTACCGCGAATGTGCAGATGGGCGGTCTGGGAGTTACCCTGCTGCAATTTCGCTTGTTCGCCTGCCTGGAAACTGGTTGAGCAGATCGGTTCCAAAGGCCAGCGCTCGAAGGTTGAGCTCTCCTCGCTCCTCGCTCGAACATGAAATTAGTTCAATTCTGAAATAGATTCCTTCGCCAATTGGGATCTCGCCTTTTTGTTGCTCCAGGCTCTGACTGTGCCCAAGAACCCATACCCCTCGCCAAGCAGGCACGGGGGGAGGGGGGGGGGGGGGGCGACCCCCCAAGCACAGCACTGGAACTTGGAAGAACCGCGATGCGCACCTTCGAAGAAGAGGAGAAGCAGATTGAAGCCGACAGCGCGTGAGACACCATGACCAATCGCCCCTGGTTCTCGCGACTGGTTCTCGCGACCATCGCTCTGACTCCGCACTTCACCCCTTCTCAGTCTCAGTGGTGTCCTCAATGGCCTGACGCTGACCCCAACCAGGACAGACACCACAACTGATGTGGGCTTCGGGGCTCAAATGCACACTGACCCACAGACAGGCGGCGAGCAGAATGGTATCGAAGACAGTCTTCAGGCCGCCGACGTGCTCAACTCACAGGCTCCTCCTGCGCAAGCGGCGGCACTGCAACCTGCCTGTCAGCTCCTTCGTCGAAGTGTCGCGGATGGCCACGAAACGCGTCACAGTGCCGAAGTCGTCCTCCCTATCCCTGCTGGGCGACGAGACCGAGCGGCCTCCATTGAAGCGCACCTCAAGGGAACTGCGTCGAAGCCCGAGAAATATTGGAGCGCAAACAACAAGGTCTATGGACACCGGTGTGGCAAGGGGATCGGTGTGGGTGCTCGGGACGCGTGTCGCCTGATTGTCAGGCGGGGTATAGTCTGGACCGCGGAGCAAGCATGCATCCAAGAAACAATCGCACGTCACCACAATGAATGCCCCGTTCTAGCCAATGCGAGCCCCTGTCGAATCGTCGTCCTTCCCACGTTCCAGCACACGAGAATAACGCGAACACCCGAATCGTGGCCACGCAACGTCCGACACATCGAGAACGAGGCCTGCGCGCCATCCTTAGAACACAACATGCGCATACCTCAACGCCTGACCGCGTCACATCAATTGCGCAAGGCAGTGCAATCCGAACAACTGGAAGGCAACTGCTCTCGCAAACGCAAGGGTGGCAACGTACAAAGCGTCACAATTCATCATTCCAAATGTGCGTTGAACCCTCCCGTGTCCCACCAGCCACTCACGAAGCTGCTGCTCGGTGTAGTCTTCCAGAGGAAGATCTCTAAGGTAGATCTCAGTGTCTTCGGGACCTGAATCTCTCTCTCTCTCTCTCTCTCTCGCTGCCTCTCCCTCTCTCGGGGCTGGGGATACAAGGCAAGCCCAAACCGCTGGGCACGGTCCACAAGGAAGGACATTCAGCTTGGCCCTTACATCAGAGCTAAGCTGATGTACGAGCTGGCAACCGAATTCTCAAGCCTGCAAACTCAAAACCCTCACCTCCCCACGCAGAAACGACTTCGCCGCCAGGATGCACTCTGCAAGATGCGCTTGCCCATCCGAAGAGGCCTGGTGACCCTCACGCTTCTGCGTAGCCAGGTCTTGTAGGTCAGAGATGAGGGGCATGGAGCCGCCGACGCTGAAAGCTCCAGACAGACGTCGCAGTCTTCCTTTCCGACTTGCGGCGGTACGATCGTGACCCGGGGACCTGATCTGCTCCCGTAGGAAGCGCGCCCCTGCCTTCGCCTCCTCTCATCCGAGCCTCGTTGGCTTCGTCGCCAGAGTGAATCCGTCCGATACCACCCCTGCCGTTCCAATGCTCTGACTGTGACACCGCCGAGCCCCTGCCCGTCTTCACGCGGGCCACTGCGAAAGACAAAAGTCACCCCAATCATCCATACACTTGCATGTTGAGCACACGACGGGATACACTGTCGCTCGGGGTTGGGCACTGCACTGCACATGGCCCTCAACGTTCCCGGCAAATGCAAGGCTTAGTGGGCGTGTCGTTGTCAAACTGCGGCTCTCAAGGAGGAGGAGGAGGAGGAGGAGGAGGAGGATGAGATGGAGGGGGGGGGAGGAGGAGGAGGAGGAGGAGGAGGAGGAGGAGGAGGAGGAGGAGGAGGAGGAGGAGGAGGAGGAGGAGGAGGAGGAGGAGGAGAGGAGGAGGGGGAGGAGGAGGAGGAGGAGGAGGAGGAGGAGGAGGAGGAGGAGGAGGAGGAGGAGGAGGAGGAGGAGGAGGCGGATAGCGGGGATGCGAGGTGGCGCCGCGCACATTCGCCTTGCGCGTTCCCAGCAGCTGAACGGATGGACGGCGCGTTGCGTTCACACTCGTGGCCTTACCTTGGCACGTGCGTCGTACAGGCGCCAAACAGTTACAGGCATGGAGGACGACTCCTTTCCAACGCGGGGCTATCGGTTCAGGCCTCCTCAAGCACGTGCCCAGAGCTGTACGGTTGCACAGCAAATGCACCTGTGGAGGGCGAGCCGTACAGCAATGGCACCTGTGGAGGGCGGCTCCTTCGGAACACGGGACCTTGGCTGGACGCCTCCTTGAAGCTAAGACCAGAACAGCGCAAGTTTCAAGCAATTGGGCGTATGGACACCTATGGGTGGCGTCTCCTTTTTCATACACCCCGGTTGGTCATCTTCTTAAACTTTACATCACCATGATAGCCTGCGCTCCTTTTCGCCGAAATGATTCAGGGCAGAGCTCGCCAGCCCAGGGTGAACCGAGCCAAATCGCAATCGAGTGGAAGGGAAGCCCATTCCCGTTGATCCCGCCCCCGCCGAGGAGGGGGGGTCATGGGCGGGGAGGTCGTGGAGTGCACATCCCCGCCCACCCTTCCCTGGAGTGACTCAGAAAATCTTGGAGCCACCTTTCTTGGGAATCTCGCGGGCCGTCTAGGCGATCCCAAGATCCAGCCAAAAAGGACCCGGAGCGGCCGAATGGGTTTGTTTCTTCTGTGTAGCCTTAAGAGCGTACAAGGCGGTCCAAGAACCCTCCAAGGACGGCCAACGATCGCCCAAGAGGCCCCCCAAGAGGAGCTCAAACAACCCCCTAAGACGGCTCCTGTAGCGGCCACCGTAGCACGCCACTGTCGCACTGCTAGAACCCAACCCCTCCAGCATGATTCCGAGACCCCCAAGAGGCCCACAAGAACCCCAAGATCCCCAAGACGCACCCGAGTGGGCCACAAAGGCCCCCAGGAGGTCTCCACGAAGCACCCAAAGATCCCCAGGATTGCCCCGAAGACCTTTAGAATATGACCCAGGCGCAGTGGCGGGTCGGACCGAGGAACACTCGATTTCCGATCTCGCATCACAGCCACCAATGCCCCCGTCCCCCTTCCGCCTCTTGCGCACAAGCTGTTCACTTCTCAGGGTCGGTGGTCCTGGTCGTACAGTCAGGGGCGCCGAAAAAGGAACCCTTTTCCATGGGGAGGGGCTCCGTGTTCCTCCATTGTTTCGCAGCTTGCCTTAGGTTTCCCTGAAGCATTCGGACAGAAATCGAAGTCCAGTCTGTGGACGAAAAGGGCCCCGTTCTGCTATCACTCATGGCTCCCCGGGTCAGCGCCCCGACTGCAAGGCCTCACCGACAGGAGAATGCGGGACGGGAATAGGACCACAGCCACTGCTTCTCGTTTGCGCCGCCCTCCAGCCGGTCAAAAGAGAAGCGGTGGTTGTGGTCATTTCCCTGGTGTCGAGCTCAACGAAAATGACCACAACCACTGCTTTGTTGCTGCTGCTGCGGAGGAGGGGGAGGAGGAGGAGGAGGAGGAGGAGGCGGCGGAGGAGGCGGAGAGGGAGGAGGAGAGGGAGGAGGAGAAAGAGGAGGAGGAGGAGGAGGAGGAGGAGGAGGACGAGGAGGAGGAGGAGTTCGAGCGTGGAAGGCGGCATCAAAAGAAAGAAGAAGCGGTAGCTGTGGTCGTCTTCACGCCCCGTAAAAGAAGGCGGGAGGAGGAGAGAGGAGGGGGAGGAGGGGAGGAGAGAAGAGGAGGAGGAGGAGGAGGAGGAGGGGGAGGAGGAGGAGGAGGAGGGAGGAGGAGGAGGAGGAGGAGGAGGAGAGGAAGGAGGAGGTGGAGTCGGTTCGGTCGGGACGCTGTCCGAGGAGAGGAGGAGGAGGAGGAGGAGGAGGAGGAGGAGGAGGAACAGTTCGAGCGTGGAAGGCGGCATCAAAGGAAAAGCGGTGGCTGCGGTCGTCTTCGCGCCCCGTGAGAAGAAGGGCGGGCAGGCGCCCGCAAGGCCGGGGGGGTCCTCGCCCGGAGGGCAGACCTCCGGGGCGCCCTCGCCTTCTCCAGGGGGGGGGGGGCGCTCCCCTCGGCGATTCCGCGGCGACGGCAGGGACTGCCAGAAATGCTTCCTCCTCCTCCTCCCATGCCTCCTCCTCCTCCCTTTCCTCCTCCCTTTCCTCCTCCTTCTCTCCTCCTCTCCTCCCATTCCTTCTCCTCCTCATCCCATTCCTCCTCCTCCTCCTCCTCCTCCTCCTCCTCCTCCTCCTCCCTTTTCTCCTCCTCCTCCTTCTCCTCCTCCTCCTCCATTCCTCCTCCTCCTCCTCTTCCTTTCCTCCTCCTCCCTCCTCCTCCTCCTCTCTCCCTCCTCCTCCTCCCCTCCTCCTCCTCCACCTCCTCCAACTCCTCCTCCTCCTCCTCCTCCTCCTCCTCCTCCTCCTCCTTCTCCTCCTCCTCCTGCCCCTCATCCCCCTCATCCCCCTCGAGCGGACCCGGGGGGCGGCAAGGGCGCTGTGCACCATCGCTGATGCATCAAAGGCTTACGACTGCTTCGTGCAGAACGCAGCGCTGCTTCCTGACACCGCGGGGATCGTTCAACCTTGAACGATCGGTCGTTCCCGCAACGTCCGATCGTTCAACATCGATCGATCTGTGTCGCTGGGGGCGTTCAACAGTAAACGCCAGCGGCAGGATCGCCGCAGGTCGAAATGACGTGGACCTACCATACAGTGGTCCTCCCCCTCACCCCTCACTCACTGAGGTCATACCCTCCCAGTCGCATCTGCAGCAGACACACCGAATAAGAGATCGGCCTGCTGGCAGATGCCCCACGGACGTGTCGCATCCCCGGTGGAACCTGGGGCCCACACAAGCTCCGGCGCACCTCCGGGCCCCCAAAGATGGACGGAGAGTGCGCCCGAACTGGGGAGACCAAATGGTGCGTTCTGACTACGTCTTCGAGGCGAATCACGAGGGCTTCCCAGGAGGCCCCGACGGAGGAAAACGGGCGAGGGGGCCGAGGTTATGGGTACCCTTCCCCCCTCCGACCAATACCCCTTCTGGCAAGACTCCTGATCGAATGTGTCCTCTGCACCGTTGCCTTCACCGCGGCCCCAGCACGTGACTCCCCAGGGGGCTATAGGCCCGACGGGGCGCGGGCGGGGCGTCCGGCCTGGCTCGCCCGTGGCCAGCTGGAGCTCGTCCACATAGAGCACGATCGGCGGTCCGCCTCCGCACCCTCGTCCCGCCCTCGCCTCCCGCTGCCCCCCCCCGCTCCTCGCCCCCGCTCTCCCGACCTCCCCTCCCGCCCCCCGCCCCCATCACCCCACCTTCTCCCGTCGGCACCCCGTCCCCACCCTGGCGGCGAGCGAAAGGGGGGAGTGAGAAGGGGCGGGCCTCTGTCAGAAGGCTCGGGAGTCCCCCGGGCCCGCTGAGAAGCTTCCTAAGCCTTCTCCGGCGACGCAGGAATTCCTTCCGAAAGCTAGAGGCCTTGTGAGAAGCCCCGACGCCTTCTCAGAAGGCCTTCTCCTTCTCACTCTCCAGTCGCTCGCCGCCCCGCCCGCCGACCATCCCCATCCCCCCCCCCCCGCCCCCTCGCCCATCCCCATTTGCCGCCCGCCCTCATCGGCCCCCCCTCGGCGCCCCACCCGCCCCGACACCTGGCGCAGCTGGCATCCCCTGTCTTCTCCCTGCCCCGTCCCTCCCCCCCTCTCCCCCGCTCCACGCCACTCCGATGCTCCAGTCGCCGCAAGAGCTTCCTCTGCAATCCCAGCCAGATGCGTCGACAAGAGTCTTGCCATCGCTCTCGCGTCCACCCCCCATGCATGTTTCGGTTTCGTGCGCATGTGTTGCGAATGGTCCAGGATGCTCCTCGATAAAACTCGCCGAGAAAAAATGCACACGTCCGAGCGATGCCCAGGAGTGATGCAGAAGAGTAAGAGAGAAGGGGTGAAACCCGAACAGCCAGCAATAATATCCCCCCCATATCGATGGCACGATCCTCCACAGACACCTGGCTGTGAGCTGTTTAGGAGGTGCCCAGCTGGTCCGCACAGCATATCCGACGATGGAGGGCTATGGAGAATACCTCCGGCCTTGCGGGCGTATGCGGTTGTACCCATTGGTCTGGAGAAGCAGGTGGACACATTAACTAGGATGGCGTTGAAAGTAGTTTGGTCCCGTCCGCCCCTAATGAGGACGGAACATTTGAAGCCACTCGAGCATTGAATTAGGAAGACGCTCAAAGCATATTGGAATCTGGGAATCCAGAAATACCTACTTTCAACGACCGATGGGTATGGTGTTCTCGCTTCGAACCATTTTGCTTCTGCCGGTACTTCGCCACCGGGTTCCTGTACAAGGCGTTCCTTTGCAAGCACGTCGTTTGCGGCACCGCCTGATCCCGAGGTTTGCTTTGCCTCCTCCTGGCCTCGCCGTGAGGCTGCGCTCCTTCTTCCCCCCTCTTTGTTAAGTCAAACTTCGCGCGGCCCGCTTAGCTTCGACCGGAAGAGGTGCGCTCTCGACCCGCGAATCAAAAAGTGTTCTCGCTTCAAACAAGTCTCTTACAATTTCGGGAGGGCCAGGGGGAGGGCTCCCCACAGCCTACTCTGGGGAAACAGAAAGGTACCCCTCCGGCTACTCCGCGGACCTCTCCCAGAGTGCGCTGTGATCAGAACCTCGCGGCGAATCCAGCCGTGGCGACGAGGGCCTCCCAAGGGGCCCCCCCAAGAGGGAAAACGAGGCAATGCTAGGGGCATGCATACCCCTGCCTCCCCTCGTGCTCCCCGGGAGTCTTAAAACAGGGCTAGGATCGGGATAAATCGCTCCAGAGCGTTCCGGAGCGCTCTCAGAGCGCTCCGGAACGCTCTGGAGCGGCCGCGGCGCCCAAGACATCCTCCAAACCCGCCGACTCTCAGAGATTACGAGTTATCCCGATCCGATTTTGCCCCGATCTTCGCGTCGTTGTAAGTCTGGAGACGGAGGGCGCGACCAGCCAGGGCGTCCAAGCAGGGCCCGGACGGCTCCACGGTCCGATCCCCGCACAGCCCAGCGCTGGCCCCGAGGTGGCGCAGCACGGGCCAAACAGCTGAGGCGCGTGCGGGGCAGGCCGTCTTCCTCGGGGTGCTGGCGCGCCTCCCCCACCTCGCTTCCCACATCCTCCTCCTCCTCCTCCTCCTCCTCCTCCTCCTCCTTCCTCCTTCCTCCTCCTCCTCTCCTCCTCCTCCTCCCACCTCTCTTCCACACCTCCTCCTCCTCCTCCTCCTCCTCCTCCTCCTCCTCCTCCTCCTCCTCCTCTTCCTCCTTTGCGGGCAATGCTGCAATGCTTCTGTCCATGTCCACTGCGGTATGGAGTTTCGGGCTCCCTTCCCCAGAGAACCGAGGCGCACTGGGTGTGGATAGATTTGGGCCCTGGAGGCTCGAGTTTGATCCATATCCAGTGCGCCTCGGCCTTGTGGCGCCCCTTCCAAGAAAGTCCAACACGCACTGGATATGGATGTGAATCTTGCCCGCATCCTTCCCTTCTCCTCCTCCTCCTCCTCCTCCTCCTCCTCCTCCTTCTCCTTCTCCTTCCTCGTCCTCCCTCCGTCCTCCCTGCTCATCTGACTATCCTCCCTCCACCTTGGCCCGAGGCGGAACAATACGGAACAATATATCGCCGCCTGAGGGCCCGATGTGGTCACGGAGCGTCCCAAGGATGCCCCCAGGAAGCGATGTGCTGACTTTCTGCGTCCTCGCCCGGTCGCCGCGTCATCGTCGCCTGGCGTGCTGGCTGGGTGTTCCAGGTCTGCGTCCGGTCGCAGCACATCGCCGCCTCGTCGCTGCCTCCGCGTGCCAGCTGGAGGTTCTGGGTTTTCGCCCGGGCGCCGCGCGTCGCCGCTCCGTCGCCCGCTCTGTGCTGGCCGGATGTCCTGTGTTTTTTTCCCAACCATCCTGTGGTGTTGGGTCCTCGTTTTGAAGAGACGGTGCCCGCGTCCTCTCCTCTCCTCCTCTCCTCCTCTCCTCCTCCTCCCCCTCCTCCTCCCTCCTCCTCCCTCTCCTCCCTCCTCTCTGCGTTTCACCCACCCATTACAGCGCTTCGTGGCTCCATAGGGAGCTCCACCGAAGGCCCCAGTGGGGGTGTTCGCATGCGGTTCCCCCACCCAGGGCAGCGTTTCGTGGCCCCATAGGGAGCTCCACCGAAGGCCCCAGTGGGGGTGTTCGCATGCGGTTCCCCCACCCAGGGCAGCGTTTCGTAGCCCCATAGGGAGCTCCACCGAAGGCCCCAGTGGGGGTGTTCGCATGCGGTTCCCCCACCCAGGGCAGCGTTTCGTGGCCCCATAGGGAGCTCCACCGAAGGCCCCAGTGGGGGTGTTCGCATGCGGTTCCCCCACCCAGGGCAGCGTTTCGTAGCCCCATAGGGAGCTCCACCGAAGGCCCCAGTGGGGGTGTTCGCATGCGGTTCCCCCACCCAGGGCAGCGTTTCGTGGCCCCATAGGGAGCTCCACCGAAGGCCCCAGTGGGGGTGTTCGCATGCGGTTCCCCCACCCAGGGCAGCGTTTCGTAGCCCCATAGGGAGCTCCACCGAAGGCCCCAGTGGGGGTGTTCGCATGCGGCAGGGCAGCGTTTCGTGGCCCCATAGGGAGCTCCACCGAAGGCCCCAGTGGGGGTTCGCATGCGGTTCCCCCACCCAGGGCAGCGTTTCGTGGCCCCATAGGGAGCTCCACCGGAGGCCCCAGGGGGTGTTCGCATGCGGTTCCCCCACCCAGGGCAGCGTTTCGTAGCCCCATAGGGAGCTCCACCGAAGGCCCCAGTGGGGGTGTTCGCATGCGGTTCCCCCACCCAGGGCAGCGTTTCGTGGCCCCATAGGGAGCTCCACCGAAGGCCCCAGTGGGGGTGTTCGCATGCGGTTCCCCCACCCAGGGCAGCGTTTCGTGCCCCATAGGGAGCTCCACCGAAGGCCCCAGTGGGGGTGTTCGCATGCGGTTCCCCCACCCAGGGCAGCGTTCGGCCCCATAGGGAGCTCCACCGAAGGCCCCAGTGGGGGTGTTCGCATGCGGTTCCCCCACCCAGGGCAGCGCTTCGTGGCCCCATAGGGAGCCACCGAAGGCCCCAGTGGGGGTGTTCGCATGCGGTTCCCCCACCCAGGGCAGCGTTTCGTGGCCCCATAGGGAGCTCCACCGAAGGCCCCAGTGGGGGTGTTCGCATGCGGTTCCCCCACCCAGGGCAGCGTTTCGTGGCCCCATAGGGAGCTCCACCGAAGGCCCCAGTGGGGGTGTTCGCATGCGGTTCCCCCACCCAGGGCAGCGTTTCGTGGCCCCATAGGGAGCTCCACCGAAGGCCCCAGTGGGGGTGTTCGCATGCGGTTCCCCCACCCAGGGCAGCGTTTCGTAGCCCCATAGGGAGCTCCACCGAAGGCCCCAGTGGGGGTGTTCGCATGCGGTTCCCCCACCCAGGGCAGCGTTTCGTGGCCCCATAGGGAGCTCCACCGAAGGCCCCAGTGGGGGTGTTCGCATGCGGTTCCCCCACCCAGGGCAGCGTTTCGTAGCCCCATAGGGAGCTCCACCGAAGGCCCCAGTGGGGGTGTTCGCATGCGGTTCCCCCACCCAGGGCAGCGTTTCGTGGCCCCATAGGGAGCTCCACCGAAGGCCCCAGTGGGGGTGTTCGCATGCGGTTCCCCCACCCAGGGCAGCGTTTCGTGGCCCCATAGGGAGCTCCACCGAAGGCCCCAGTGGGGGTGTTCGCATGCGGTTCCCCCACCCAGGGCAGCGTTTCGTGGCCCCATAGGGAGCTCCACCGAAGGCCCCAGTGGGGGTGTTCGCATGCGGTTCCCCCACCCAGGGCAGCGTTTCGTGGCCCCATAGGGAGCTCCACCGAAGGCCCCAGTGGGGGTGTTCGCATGCGGTTCCCCCACCCAGGGCAGCGTTTCGTAGCCCCATAGGGAGCTCCACCGAAGGCCCGCCCCGGTGGCGCAGTCCGCATGCGGTTCCCCCATCCAAGGCAGCGCTCCGTGGCCCCATATGGAGCCCCACCGAAAGCGGCACCCACAACGCGTTACCAACAATTGCTTATGGTTGGGTCTTTCGCCAGGATAATTTCCATATCGCCGCCCATCGCCGCTTCGTCGCCGCCTCGTGTTGGCTGGGTGTTCCAGGTGTTCACTGGATAGCCACCCGTCACCACTGCCAACATTACTCCGACCACGAAGTGCACTCCGTAGATTTTTCGGCATACGGTGGCCCCGAGTGAGGTTGCACCAAACAGCTTGCACCAAAAAGGATGCACAACGATAGTGGCAGAACCCACGGTTTGGTGCCCATGCTGCCGAACAGAATTCTAGATGTGCATTCGGCTTTGAGCGTCAGGTTTAGCCTCAAGCGTCAATGTAAGCTTACGACATCGTTTACACATTAGATGTAGCTGTAGATGTAGCTTTGGCGTCAAACTATTTAGCTGTTTGATTCGCTAAACTTAAACAATCAAGCTCAGCCTTACCAAGCGGGACATCATCGAGACACCGTCGCAACCCAATCGGGACGCCATCGCAGATCATCCGACACATTCGGGACACCAATGGGGCCCCTATCCACTCGCGAAAACTGCCCGCAACAGGAGGTGTCAGAGTAAACACCTCCGCCGCGAGTCTGAATGCAAAGGCTTCTGTGGTAACTCATGTTGAGCCTCCCATGTCATATTGATGGCTACTGCGAATCGACGCCAGCCGACCATCATCGACGCACATCGGCGCTGAATCGGCGCGAATCGACGGTAAATGTGCGCTTTCCCATCGACTACCAGACGCCAGCGCAAGCGAAGGCATCCTAATAACGGGATGTCGAGGACACACAAGGCTCCCAAGAGTTGCTACCGAACAGAGGCTCCTCGCACGCAGCCTCGCGAACACGGCATGGGCGCTGAACACCATCCGCTGGTGAGGCCCGGCCTCGCGCGGAGACGCCTCCACGACCCCGCCACAGACAACAACGCGAGGCCCTGGATATGAGGAGCTCTGACAAATCAGGCTTATGCACAGCCGTTCCTCCTCCGAGCCTCGCCCCCCGACGCACGCCCTCCCGCGCGCCACCGTCTTGGAGCGGATCCTTCACGCTGGCCAGCGTCGCCTGCGCAACGCGACAGATCCCCGCGCTCCCTGCCGGGGCCAGCCGTCCTGGCTCGCCCTGCCCCTGCTGCTCGACCCGCGCTCTCGAGGAGCGCCCTTCTCCTCCTCCTCCTCCTCCTCCTCCTCCTCCTCCTCCTCCTTCTCCCACTCCTTCTCCTCGTCTCCCCCCTCCTCCTCCTCCGGCTGGCCGCTCTTGTGGGGCCTGTCCTGCTCTGAGGCCATCGGTGCCAGAGCTTCGGCTGGGCGGCCCCACAACGCTGTGCGAGATTACGACGGCCTTCCTCTCCGCGATACGCGACGGTGACCGCTCCCGTGGCATCTGCGAAGGTGGTTCGCAGGGGCGGATCCTGTTTCGCTTTGGCAATCAAGGCGGCCTGCATTGCACCGCGTACGGTTCCGTCCTTCCCTCGTGCCATGGCGAGGACCGAACCCGCCCAAGCCGCCGCTCGAAACCCAAGCCCAAGCCCAAGCCGCCGCTCGAAAGCGAGCCCAAGCCCAAAGCCCAAGCCCAAGCCCAAGCCCAAAGCCCAAGCCCAAGCCCAAGCCCAACCCAAGCCCAAGCTTAAGCCCAAGCCCAACCGAAGGTGCCGACTCTCGCCCAACCCGCCGCTCGAAACGGCGCGGACGTCCAGGCCGCCGACGCGCCACGCGGGGCTCTGGTGGCTGGCTCAACGACCAGCAGTCGCAAGTGCTCGTGCCCATCATGCCGCACCACCCCACCAACATCATCTGGGCCCCGCTGAGAGCCACTCACGCACGCCTTCGTGAGGATGCCTGCGAAGCTCAGGACTCCCGCGTGGCCCCTGACACCGGCATGTCATCAATCCTCCCCTCCCGAACCCGACAACTCCAAAAACAGAGCTCACCAAGAGCTTCCACTTCGCCTTTTCAGCGAGGCCAAATGTTTTCTGCCTCGCAGCGCGGCAAGGGCGGTCCCACGCGCGCTTGGGCAAGCCGGGGGACGTCATCGCGAACTGTCCAGGAGCAAGAGCGGGACAAAAGGAAAGTTAATGTCGAGGAACACGCAAACCACCGCATTTCTCCAGACTCCTGCGGCCGAGCGCAAGCAGGCTGTGTGTATGGACATTGTGCTTTCGTTGCAAGCATGTTTTGAAAGCTGATCTGTTGAGATAAACGTCTGCGCGCGCATGGTCTTCCATAACTTCTACCTATACGACCACCCTTCGGGTGATAAGGAGGTTCTGGGGGGGGAGAGAGGGGGGCGGGCAACCAACATCTGACTCAATCGATCTCACTATCGATCTCACACCACGGGACACCACGGGACACCACGGAACACCACGGGACACTTGTCGATCTCACTATCGATCTCACTATCGATCTCACCCAACGGGACACCACGGGACACCACGGGGCACCACGGGACACCGCGGGACACCGCGGGACACCTCTCGATCTCACTATCGGTCTCACTATCGATCTCACTCAAAGAGACACCGTAGGACACCACGGGACACCACGGGGCACTACGGGACACCGCGGGACTCCGCGGGACACCGCGAGCCACCGCTGGACGGGCGGGCGGGAGGGGGAAAATCATTTGTCTTGACTTCGCCCTAGCAACGGCGGATACCACGGGACACCACGGGACACCGCGGGACACCGCGAGCCACCGCCAGACGGGCGGGCGGGAGGGGGAGAATCATTTGTCTTGACTTCGCCCTAACAACGGCGGGTTCATTCCTCTCGCGCGCCCACGCAGCTTCGCCTCGCCTCGCCCGCACGCACGACACGAACGAAACGAAACGATTTCCCGGTTGGGGGTCTCCGTTCCGCTGCGATCTCACCCCCCACCCTCCAATGGGGAAGAGGGGTCGATACTGGTTTGCCTAGGCTGGTGTGGTACCAAATTGAAAACAACAACCACGTGTAATTTGCAATAGCCCAGAGAGTGCCTGGACGTCTTGGGGGGAGAAGGTGGTAGAGTCGGTTCTACTTGTGGGAGAAAAATAGGCGTGGCGTAACATTTGTGGTGCATCCGATGCGAGAACGAGAAATTGCAGCAATTACAACACCATTCAACACCAGCCATGCGGCCCCTTCCGTACGACACCAGGCAAAGAACGAGAAGTCGCAACACTTGGTGCACCACATGGCACCAGCCATAGAGCATAGCCATCGAGCACCACCCATAGGGCAACATATCAAGATCAACAGTTCGCAACAACTGAAGCGCCATAGAGCACCAGCCACGGGACACCAATCATGGGGCATCAAGGCAAGAACAGGGCGCCATCTGTAGAGCACGCGGACAAGAGCACCAGCACGCAACAACTGCTCCATCACGTAGAGCACTAAGTGAACAACACACGCGTAAAACGCATCATATCGCACCAGCCATGGAAACACCACCCATAAACCATCGAACACCATGGCAACATCGAACCCGCAAAAGGTGCGACGGCATGGAGCACCAACCATACACACACGAGGGCGAGACCTAGCAATCAGATCACCCGCGGGGCATCATAAAGCACAAGGCTGGGCGAGAACGAGAAATCACATCACATGGGCCATCACCGAGCACACGCCACACAGCTCCACCAGGTGGGCACCAAAGCGAAAACGACAACTCACAACAAACAACGCGTCATGGAACACCTGCCATGGAGCACCTGCCATGGAGCAAAAGCCGTACAGCTTCAGAGCGAGCATGAGCAAATCCAGCACACGGGAGGTGCTGTAACGCCAACCATAGAGCGCCACCCATCCAGCACCAGCTCGGGAACGACCACTCACATGCAATGAATCATCATCGGGCACACACATCATAGAACACCAATGCAAGAGCGAACAATCCCCGCTGACGGAGCCTCATCGAACACCAGTCACACGGCACCAAGCATAGTCCATAGGATGGGGCATGATGGAGCACCATGGGCCAACAAGGCGAGCGCGAGCAATTACAACCAACGACGAATGATAGAGCACCAGCAATAAAGCACAACCCATAAAGCACCAAGGCGCGATCCAGGCCTCGCAGCGAACGGGGCATCATAGAGCAACGCCCATACAGCATCAGCCATCAAGCAACACCCATAGGAGCACCAAAGCGAGAACGAGAACGAGAAACACAACGTCATTCCAACAAGAACATATTCGAACATATCATCCGCTTCCCATCACTTCGTAGAGAAATCAGGTCGTACACTCGACCATGATAGTAAGGATGCGCGGTAAGGATGCAAGAGCCTTTGACCGCCATGTTGACGTTTTCCGTGTGGAGCGCAGCAGAATACCGAAGGATGCCAAATACCGAAGGGGCAAGGATGCAAGGGTAGCCTTGGAAAGTTGCCCCATTATTACTATCATGGTTGACTATACTGTGGGCCAATGCGCTTGTTTCTGTTGCTTGCGTCTGCAGCGCAACTCTGCCAAGAACGCGTTACCAACACATAACGGGGCATGGGCAGGAACGAAGAACGACGGACTGGCACGGTGAATACAAGACGAGATTCGATGCGTGAGGCGGACAGTCAGTATGGAAATTGGCATGTGCCGCAGATGTTGGGTACTGGGCGCCATTGCGGCGAACAAGCACAATCCACTCGGGCGTCATGCACTCTGGTGAAACCAGCCCGCGCGACGGAACGCCGCGCCAATCGCGCCCGCGGAAAGCCGCGCCAATCCTTCATCCCCAGAGGGCGACGTCACAAAAAGCGTTGGACACAGCCATGCGGCTCTTTGTATCGTTATACCTTGTCATCTATTCGCTCCCTGCTCGGTCCTCCAAATGGAGCGCGCTCTGAACTCGGGAGCGGCCAAGAGGGGGGTGTCCAAGAGGGGGGGGTGCAGATCATGACCGGCGGCATGTGCGCGGCCGAGGGGGGGGGCCAGGGACGTAATGAAATAAGAAGGGGCACCATGAAATCTGGGGAAATCTCATGGCCCGCGCCATGATATCCACCCCCCCCCATAGTCATCACCCCCATCTTTGCCGCCCCCGATGAACTTCAGATGTCCGGGTGAGACCCCACCCGGAAACTGGAACACGAGCAAATCCTGATACGAGCGCTTCCCAACAAAGTATCGTTCTCCCCATCGCTCGGACGTCCATTCCCCGTGTTTGTTTCGGTTTCGTGCGTGGTTTTTTTGCGCCAAATGATCGAGGATGCTCCTCGATGGTCCTCGCCGAAGGAAAAATGCACACGTCCGAGCGATGCCAAGGGCTTAGGGACCCGTGGATCTGGCGCATGGGCGCCACGTCCACGCCTCGGGGAAGCGCCCCCCGAGACACGAAGCCGGTGTCGCCCGATTCCGCAGCGGAGCCTGTGTTTTTTTAGGTTTCCTGCGTGGTTTTTTGCGCCAGATGATCGAGGATGCTCCTCGATGGCCCTCGCCAGGAAAAAAAATGCACACCTCCGAGCGATGCCAAGCCCAAGAGGGCCCCCCGACTGCCCCAGGAGACTTCGAGATGGCTCCGCGCAGAGCGCCCGAAGGGCAAGCACCACCACAGTCCTTTCAGCGCTCCTGCACATCCCTAGCATTCCTTACTTACTCCAGATTTCGTAATAAAGGGAGGGGGGTCTCATTTCGGGGGGGGTCTCTTCCAGGCTATCTTGAAGGGCCTGGGGGGTCTGGGGACGATGTTTTGGAGGGTTCTCCCACGGGGGAGGTCTGAAATGGCTTGTCTTGGAGGGTCCAGACCCCCTCCCTTTTATTACGAAATCTGGAGTACTCTCTGGCTTCACATTGCTCCAAGAAGGGCTCAAGACGCCCCCGAGGGTCGCAGGTGCCTCCCAGAGACCTCCGACGGCCCGAGCAGCCTAACCAAGATGGCCCCAAGATGGGCCCAGAAGCCCCAACTGGCCTCCGAAACGACCCCAAGACTCCTCCAGGACCTCCCAGGACAGCCCGATGATCCCCCGGCTCAGCACTAAGAGCCCAGCCCCAGGGGACCTTCATCTTGCCTCGTGAGGCCCCCAGAGAGCTCCCAGAAACAGCCCAGATAGGGGGCCACATGCGAACCCTACCCCTACCCCCCACGATTTCGGAGGGGGAGGGTGGGGTTCACTTCGTTCGGGAGCTCCCGAGCGAAGTGAACCCCACCCTCCCCCTCCGAAATCGTGGGGGGTAGGGGTAGGGTTCGCATGTGGCCCCCAACCAGAGATCCTCGATGGGGGCTCCCCCAAAGCAGCCCCCAGTCTCGAGGCCATCCCACGGATCATCACGGATTCGTGGTTTTCCGTGCTCCGTTCCCCGTGGGGGTGAGGGCGACCGAAAGGTGGGGTCTGGCCAGCTGGGGAGGGAGGGCAATGACGTGGAATCGACAAATGCATCGCCGATACATCTATCTATGTATTCTTATATATCAATCGTACCTTGGACATCGAGGTCAGAGCGTCCGACTAAGACTAGAAGGGCGCTCAGGAGTGGTCAACAAAGGCCTGAAATGCCCTGCGGATGGCGTAGAAATGTCGGGCTCTGTCCTCCTCTGAGACGAGGGGGCCAGGAACAGGATCCGTGCGCACAACATTGTACTTGTGATTCTATTTACTGTCATATATACATATATCTATCGCAGTGAGAGGTTCCCGACAGCGATACCACACGCTCCTCGGCGGACTTCGGGTGGGCACCCCGCCCCAGATTGGCCACGAGAGGGTCCTCAGTAGATCCTGCCCTAACATTTCCGTTTCAGTGCCATGATGCCATGTTCCTCCTCCTCCTCCTCCTCCTCATCCTGATCCTCCTCCTCCCCCTCCTCCTCCTCCTCCTCCTCTTCTTCCTCCTCCCTAACAACATTGCCCTCTGGTTTCCGGGTCAGAACTCAGCTCTCCGGCGGCCGTCCGGGACGCTTCGTGCACCCCCCCGAATTTCCTCGACGAGGCGCAGCTGCTGGAGAACGTTCAGATGCTGATTATCCGCCGAGAACCGACGAAACCGCCCGAGGGCATTGAACATCGACCCCTCCCCCCCTAAACTAGACCCCCACCCTAGCCACTCCCCTCTGTCGGCACCCCTGGCCTGACCTCCACCGTCGCTCGTCCGGCGGGCTCACATAACCGCTTCATCGCTGCAGCCACGCCCCCGGGACGGGACACACCAGCAGAGGCTCCTCATCCTCGCCGGCAGCGTCTGCCCGTATCCGTATCCCTATTACGAGAACTCGCTCATGCACCGTACCATGTTTGGACTCCCTTCAGGCCTCGCTCCAACGTAGTGCGGACCATAGTGTTTCGCCTGTGAGGGCCGAAAGACGATGCACCGTACCAGTCCTGGGCCGAAGATCGACGACACCTCGTGAGACGCCAACGCGGTACGGTGCACACAAGTCGTCCTCGGAGTCCAGGCAGGGGAGCAAATGAGCACCCCCATCCCGACTGCTCTCCTTCCCCATGAACGGGGGGGCAAGTGTAGAGAGCAGAAGTCCACCCCCATCATAAGCACTCCGACAAGCGAAGCCGTTTAGCAAACGTACCCAAGGACGGAATCCGCCGACCCCTTGGGGTCACGGCGTGTGAGATGCTTCCCCCTCCCCAAACCCTCCCCCGGGAGCCCAGTCCGGCCGGTTTGGAGGGGACGGGGGGGGCGGGGGGCAAAGGTGCCGGCCGCACCCTTGGAGCCTGAAAGGGGGCCCCAAAACGGGCCAAGAGGGCTACGAGGCGCCGAAAGATCGCCCCAAGACGCACAAGATCGCCTCCAGACGGTCCCAGAGGCCCCCAAGACGCCCCAAGAAGCCCAGAGGCGTCCCAAAAGGCCCTCCAGAAGCAAAAGTCGCCCATTCCCGAGGGAACGCGTATATGTTTAGTGCATTCTCCTCTTGGGCTTTCCCGAGGCCCACAACGGCCCAAGCAGCCTTCAAGATCGACCCAAGATAGCCCAAGAGGCCCCCGAGAGGACTCCAAGACGGCCCAAGAGGGCCCCAAGACGGTCCCAGAAGCTTACAAAACGACCCAGGAGGGCCCCAGGACGGCCCCAAGAGAAGGCCCAGAAGGGGAACCCGAGTGAACATGTCGAGCACTCGGCCCCCAAAAAACCGGAGGAGGCGCCAACAGGCCCCCAAGAGGCTCCCGCGAGGCCCCCGAAAGGCCCAAAAGAGGTTCCTAGAGGCCTCAAAACAGCTTCCAAGAGGCTTCCAAAGTGCTGCCAGGAGAGCCCAGAGAAGCCCAAGAGCAGAGCGGCGTTCCGCCAACCGCCCCCGACGAAATCCAAAGAAGCTGAAACCCCAAGATTCCCCAGGAATCGTCCCGCAAACTCCGTTTTTCACTTTCACTGGCGCCTCAAGGGGTCGGCGGTGCGGCGTCAGCCAATGAATCGAACAGAGCAAGGCTGTTAGGAAATGCCGAGGACCGTTTAGTAGACGCCAATTGTCGGGGTCGGGGTGGGTTTTCCTCCCTTGAAAGTGGGCGCGGGGTGTAATGTGCTGCCCCCTCTTTTGCGAAGCATCCTCGCACTCGGGTTTCGAGGTTCTCCATCCCCGCCTCAGAGGGGCGATGTAAAAGGGGGCCAGGTGGGGGTGGGGGCGCGCTTCCGTTCCCCAATGCAAGAGCGACCGGTGAATCGCCGCGAGGCGTCAGCAGCCGAACTAAAGCACGTCCCAAAGCGGGGGGCCACGAAGAGGCGGTGTCCCCATGGCACCAGTTCGTCTGCTGCTCGAGAGGCGAGGGTGCCACGGATTGGGCAGCTGCCTCGAGCCTGAGGCCTCTCCAAGGCATCAGGCTCGACAGCGTCAGGGGATCCGGGCCGTGCTTGGAAAGAGTCTTTGCTCAAAGACAGCTTTCTGAGAACAGAGAGCCGAGGTATCCAAAAAAAAACCTCGGTCAGAAAAGTTTTAAGAACACGCCGTGCAGACCGCAGGGAGACCGTCAAACATTCTTACGTGGGCCTCGAGGCAGACCAGGAAACTTCGCCACTGCCTAAAGGTTTTGGATGCGCCCACCCCGCCATGGTTCCCAAGTGCAATCAACCATTATAGTGAGGATGCGTGGTAAGGCTGCAAGGGCCTTTCAAGGCCATGTCGACACTCTGCGGGTGGGGCGCGGCCAGCGAAAGCGGCCAAAGATGGGCCGAAGGGGAAGGATTCAGGGGTAATGCATCTTGGAATGTTGCTCATCCTTGCTGTGCGGGTTAAATGTAACGCAACAAACTGCGCACGGTGGGCTGGGTTGCCCGCTGCGTAACAACACTGGGGGGGCGGGCTGGTTTTGCCTGGAGTGGACCAGAACAAGTGTCCTGGGTCCACAACGGGGAGGTGGGAGACGGGAGGGGGGGGCAGATCAGGAGGAGGAGGAGGAGGAGGAGGAGGAGGAGGAGGAGGAGGAGGAGGAGGAGAAGGACCAGCAATCGGCGGCGAGCCAAAGGGGGAAAGTGAAAAGGGGCGGGCCTTCTCAGAAGGCTCGGAAGCCCCTGGACCTTCGGCTGAGTTTCCGAAGGCTTCCCCGAATAGACAGAAGACATTTCAGAAGGCCGGATGGCTTTTGAGAAGCCCCGCCGCCTTCTGAGAAGGCCTGCCCCTTCTCACTTCCCTCCTCGCTCGCCGCCGAAACAACGCAGAAAGCAGGGGCAAGAAGGGGGCGTGGTAGGGAGGGCATCTCTTGAGCTTCTGAAAGATAGCTCGAGTGAAAGGCAACCGTTCGGGACGATTCGGGCGCCCCCAGTTGGCTCTCGGCGAAGCACAGCTGCTCGAAGACACCCCGAGGCTGGCAGACCGCCGAGACCAGACGGAGACGCCAGAAGGAAACCTCGAACGTCGAACGACCGCGAGAATCAGCAACAAGCTGCGGAAATCTAAACGGCAAACGATCTTCCGAACGCCGAAGCACCAGGAACAAACCCGAAGCCTCCTCATCCTCCTGCTGACGTTCCTCCTCCTCCTGCTGCTCCACCTCCTCCTCCTCCCCGCGAGCGCATCGGAGCGAGCCCGAGGACGGGCCCGCTCGAGTTCATCGTCTGTCCACCTGGCCGCCAGCCGCGGCCTTCAGGGCGCGAACACCCACTCCACGTGGTCGCCGTAGAAAACCAGATACTTCTCACAACCACCAAACATACAACAGATCCAGACAATCTCCAGCTATCACCAATACTCAGAAACCAGGGCAGCGAGGTCGCTCAGGACCACGACCTTCCAGTAAGGACGAAGGCCCCAACACACCCTCAGCGGCCAAATAGGCTGACACCGTCCGCCACCAGAATAGAGTTTACGCTCATCCGCTGCAACGACGGGTGCGTGGCCAGAAAAAAGGGCCGTCACGACCGCGACCACGTATGTAGCTGCTCGGCCCCAACACCCCCTGAGCGGCCAAGTGCGCTGACACCGTCAGCCACCAGAAGAGAGCTTTCGCTCATCCGCTGCAACGAAGGGGATACAGCCATGAAGAGAAAAAAAGGTAGCGCATGTGCTTGACCTCGTACTAGTCTGAAAAGGGCCCCGGCGCCCCCTCAGCGGCCAAGCGGGCTGACACCATCAGCCCGCCAGAAAGTTGCTCACACACATCCGCTGCAACGAAGGGGGGGCGGCCATCAAAGAAAGTACCCTCTCGACCAGCTCGCCGAACTGGCCTCAACGGGTTTCAGCACTGCTCCCGAAACTGAGTGCCGACCATCGAGGAAACGCTCCAATCTGCTTGCCGTCGGCCGCGGACGTGCACAACCTTTGGCCCCCTGAGCATCGTTGCAATAATCCTGACGAGCCTGACGAGGCTTCGCCGAAGGAGCCACACCTTCTCCACGCCGTGTACGGACCAGTGTTGAAAAGCAGTGCGGGCTCTTCTCCTCGAGTATGTCCTCCACCATGGTAGGTCGAACCCCCAACACACGATCAGCTCCCAACATCGCATGGGCCACTGCCTCGAACCGCCTTGTAGGGACCTCCAACGTACCAGCGTAGTCGATCTGGGCTTGGTTGGCACTTGAAGCGCCCGAGCTCCGTCGGCACGCAAGTATTCGCCTGCAGGTTGGCCTTCACATTCTGTCCTTTCGCGCCCTCGCCACATCGCATGCATCGCATGTAGCCGTCCTGAGCTCCACGAACATGCTGCTGTATGGCCAGCTGCACTGGCGCCCCAACCTTCCGTGGCTTCGGTCGTAGATCAGGGTCTTGCCGAACCCCGTCCATGACCATATATTCCATAACACGGGATAAGTACTGGTTGACGTTCTGGTGGTGCCTCAACTCCGCCTGGTAGATGTCCACCAATACTCTCGACGCTCTATGTGTGAGCGCTCCTTCCTTGGCGAAATAATCGTCCCACCAATTACCGTACCACCATACTGGATGTAAGCCAATTTGCAGGTACTCGTCGACGTCCCTGCGCGCTGGCGTCCAAGCAACTGCAGGAGGCCTCTCCTTCACCGTACCGAATATATTCCTCCATATATCAACATGCTGACCCGCCGAGGCCTCCGACTGCGCCGTCCATCTGTTCACTTCCCGCACTAGACCAGCCAGTTCGGACACTACCCGTCTTACGTGCGGGGACAGATTCAGCTCTTGATAAACAGCAGATCTTTCAGCTCTGCCAACTGTCTGCCGTGCCTCTGGGAGCGGCCCACACACTATCCTTAGCGGCAAACCTTGTTCAGATGCTTGCATCGCTGACCAACCACATCTGCATAATTCAGGATGGAGGACTCGTACCCAGATCCATCAGTGAAGATAGTGTCCGACCATTCTGATGTGTCAGATGCCCAGTGGCCTCATAGGAAGACTTGCGCTTGATTGGCAGGGGGGGCAGCAGGTGGCGGTAGCGTACGTATTCCCACCGATAGCTCCAGCGTCTCGTAGTCAGGCTTGCCCAGTCCATTCTGGTACCCGTTGTCCTCGAGCCACTTCTGCACCTCTAGCAACTTCTCAGGCAGCTCCAGTCCCTCGCTCTGACCTCCTCCTCCTCCTCCTCCTGCTCATCCTCCTCCTCCTCCCCCATCCTCCTCCTCCTGCTCCTGCCCCTGCTCCTCCTCTTCCTCCTCGTCCTCCTCCTCCCCCTCCTCCTCCTCCTGCTGCTCCTCTTCCTCCTCCTGATCCTCCTCCTCCTCCTCCTCGGCGCAGCACCCCCGCCTCGCAAGCCCCGCTGGCCGCGCCAAGCAATGGCAACACGGCGAAGAATCACGACTGGAACCCCAGACTTACCAAGGCCGGGCTAACGGCGATTTTGCTTAACGGTGATGTTGGGAACCACGGTGAAGGAGATCACGGACCACACTTTTCTACACTCCCGGTCTGCGAATGGACCGAGCGAGCACGACACGGCGAGTTGTAGGAAAGCGCGAGCCACGCGTTTCCACAATACCGAAACCTACATCGCCGCTACCTACATTAAAGGGAAATTAGGACACACAAATAAATACACACAAATAAAAATAGTCCCCATATGTTCCCATATTTTCTGGGTTTTTGTCTTCCCCCCCAATTCCCATATTTTCCCATATTTTCCTGGGAATCGAGGATTAATTGTGTCTGTGTGTTTTTTTCCCTCCTGATACATCGCCGTTAGCCCGTCTGCAGACTTAGGTCGGGCATGTCCCCCTGCAGGCGGATTTCTTGGACGGAACATACATTGCTCCGACGGTCGGGCCCCGCGCGAGAATCTATTTAGCTTGCCCCTTGCCCTCTTCTTCTTCGGCTGGCGGAGGCGTTCCTTCCGCCCTCTGCGTCCTCCTCCTCCTCTTACTTCTCGTCCTTCTCTTCCTCCTGCTCATTTTCGTTCTACTCGCTGCGTTTCTCATCATCTTGCTCTTCCACCTCCTCCTGCTCCTCCTTTTCCTCCTCCTCCTCCGCCTCCTCCGCCTTCCACCGGCGGCTCGGAGACAAGGATTACCCCTGTCCCCGCTTCGGCCAAGGATGGGTTACCACCCCCGGCTTGGACACAAGAGGTTACCCCTGCGCCCGATTCGGCCGCCGATGGGTTACCACCGGCGGCCCGGAGACAAAGGGCTACCTCTGTCCCCGATTCGGCCGAGGACGGGGTACCACCCCCAGCCCGGACACAAGAGGTTACCCCTGCGCCCGGCCGCTGTCTCGTCACCGTCGTCAGCTCATCAATCGCCCCTGTGTCCTACGCAATTTCGGGCACGCGGGCCCATGACAGAAAAAGAATTGCCGACGACCAGCTCATTCTCCCACAGAAGAAGCTCCCGCCTCATACTTCCCAGATATATAGGCATCAGGAGCCCAAAAGTGACGACGGTTACAGGGTAACGATGACCCGCTCAGATTAATAACATGATCTGCAGGCCCCATCGGGAGGGGGCTCCCGCCTAAGACTTCCTCGCAATTCACTCACAGACGAGGCTCCCGCCTGATACTCCCCAAAATGTCAAGCCTCAGGAGCCCAAAAGTGACGACGGTTACAGGGTTCCGATGACCCGCTCGGATTAATAACATGATCTGCGGGCAACATAGGGAGGAGGCTCCCGCCTGAAAATTCTTCGGAATTCACTCACAGACGATGCTCCCGCCAGACACTTCTCCCATATGCAGGCTTCAGAAACCCAAAACTGACAACGGTTACGAGGTTCCGATGACCCGCTCGGACTAATGGCACTATCTTCAGACCCCATAAGGAGGAGGCACCCGCCTGACACTTCTTCGCAATTCACTCACAGACGAGGCTCCCACCCGATACTTCCTCCATTTTCAAGCCGCAGGAGCCGAACAGCGATGATAGTCACAAGTTCCCGATGACCCGTTCAGATCAGTAACATGATCTGCGGGCCCCATAGGGAGGGGGCTCCCGCCTGAGACTTCCTCGCCATTCACTCACAGACGAGGCTCCCGCCTGATACTTTCCCCGTGCTCAGGCCCCAGGAGCCCAAAAATGACGACGGTTACAGGGTTCCGATGACCCGCTGGGATTAATAACATGATCTGCGGGCTCCATAGGGACGGGGCTCCCGCCTGAAAATTCCTTGGAATTCACTCACAGACGAGGCTCCCGCCAGACACTTCTCCCATATACAAACCTCAGGAACCCAAAAGTGACGATAATCACAGGTTTCCGATGACCCGCTCGGATTAATCACATGATCTGCGGGCCACATCAGGAGGGGGCTTCCGCCTGAGACTTCCTCGCACTTCACTCACAGACGAGGCTCCCGCCTGATACTTCCTCATGTTCAGGCCTCAGGAGCCCAGAAGTGACGACGGTTACAGGGTTCCGATGACCCGCTCGGATTAATAACACGATCTGCGGACCCCATGAGGAGGAGGCTCTCGCCTGAGACTTCCTCGCAATTCACTCACAGACGAGGCTCCCGCCTGAGACTTCCTCGCAATTCACTCACAGACGAAGCTCCCGCCTGAGATGAGTGAGTGAGTAAATTCATGAGTGAGTGAAGATGATGATGACGATAATGATGGTAATAATGATGATGATGACGACGATGACGATGGTGATGATGATGATGCTGATGATGATGATGATGATGATGATGGTGATGAGAGTGTGAGTGAGTGAGTGGGCGGGTAGGTGGGTGAGTGAGTGGGTGAGTGCGTGAGTGAGTGAGTGATGATGATGATGATGATGAGTGTGTGTGTGTGTGTGGGTGAGTCAGTGGGTGAGTAAGTGTGTGTGTGTGTGTGTGTGTCTGAGTTGGTGAGTGAGTGTGTGTGTGTGAGTGAGTGTGAGTGATGAAGTGTGTGAGCGCTTGAGTGAATGAGTGCGCGATTAGAGAAGAGGAGAGGGTGTGCTCTCTCGTTCCTGCGCGGGGTGTCCAGAGAAAACAAGAAAACCACTTTGGCTGTGGGGAAACATGCCCAAAACAATATTCAAAAAGAGTCAAACAATCATCAACACATCGTTCCCGTAGTATTTTTGACTAAATTTGAAGATTCCTCATGTAGAGGGACATGCCCGACTTAACCCTAGACCCAAGCTTCATTGTGCATTTTTCGAGCCGGATCATTCCGCGAGGGTCCCGGGGCCCGAAGCAAGGCAGAATCGCCCGTTGTGAGAGCAAAGCGACGCCAGAAACTCAAGGTGCCCACTCGGGCTACAGCTCCCTGCGGTAGAAGGTAACAATTACTGGACACGCGCGGGGAAGACTGCGGTCAAGGTGCAGATCATTCAGCCCCCCGCCAATCAACTGGGGGAAGCACTGACAGGTGAAAACGGCATGTTCGGCCAATGGCCTCACACCCCCGAGACGTTCATGCCGTAATCCCACGTCCAAGCGGGGGCCGACATCGGGTGCGTCTGTGCCGCGACCTCGGCCTCCAGCGTCTCGTTGCACTGGTCCGGCGGGTCGTACGGGTCGCCGTCGTAGAATCGGTAGCAGTCGAAGTCGCACGGTGGCTCCTGGCCGTCGAGCTCGTCCTGACCCCCTTCGCTGCCTCACCCTGCCCTCCCGCAACACGTCTGCCGGAGATCTGGAGCGGGAAGAGCAGCGGCGTGGCCGGATTCGTGGCCAGTCCCAGCGGTTGATTTGCCTTCTGTGGCTGAGAATCTGGTAGTATTTGCACATCGTTCTTCCTCAACCATAAGTGCTCGTGAACTTACGCGTCGCGTTCTACACTCTACACAGATAGATAGATGTATATAGATAGATAAATAGATACCGTGCCCCTGACACGTAGTAATAGTAGTAGTACCTTGCCTGGCAGGGTTTCTGTAATCTTCTGGGGCCCCCCCTCACCGCCGCACCTCGTCTCGCGCACTGGCCCTTCTTCCCGAGGCTCTGTCGGCGCCCAGGCACGTCCCTGGCGGTCTCGAAGGCGGCATCCCGAATGCCTAAGATGGCTTCCAAGACGGACCTGGGAAGCCAGCAAGGCCGCCAAGATGGCCCAAGATGCCTCCAAGACTGCCTAAGAGGCCCCAAAGAAGCCCCGAGAGCGCTCCAAGAGCACCCCCTCGAGGGCCCCAAAGGGCAAAAATCAATGATATCCATTGTGTTTCCTGTGTTTTTCACGTTATCCCATTTTCAAGCGTCCGACACTCCAAGACGGCCCCAGGGGGCCCCCAAGACAGCCCCAAGACAACCCGAGAGGCCCCCAAGAGGGTCCCTAGGCGGCCTAAGAGAACACCAAAACGGCCCAAGAGGCGCTCAAGTCAGCCCAAGAGAGCCCCAAAACAACCACGACCGCCAGACGGTCCGCAACAGGCCTCAAAACTGCCGTCAACAAGCCCCCGAGAGTGCCCCCACGATATCACAACGATCGTCATCATCATCATCATCATCATCATCATCATCATCATCATCACCATCATCATCATCATCATCATCATCATCATCATCATCATCATCATCATCATCATCATCATCATCATCATCATCATCATCATCATCATCATCATCATCATCATCATCATCATCATCATCATCATCATCATCATCATTATAAGCATCAGCATCATCAGCATCAGCATCAGCATCATCATCACAATCAGCATCAGCATCAGCATCAGCATCAGCATCATCATCATCCGCATCAGCATCAGCACCAGCATCAGCATCAGCATCATCAGCATCATCATCATGAGCATCAGCATCATCAACACAATCATCACCAGAATCATCATAATCATCATCATGATGGATGACCATCATCATCATGATCATATCATCATCACAATCGTTACCATGATTTTCATCCCTCGCATGTACGGCCTCCGGTGCCCCCTCGAAGGAGAGCCGCCGAGGATGCTAGGCTGGCACGGCGGCGGGACTTGCCGCAGGCAACTGGATATACGTACATCTAGATACACATATAGATATGTTCATATAATATCGAGCACGTGAATATGTGTATATACACATACACATGCGTACACACAAGTACCTGAGCGCGCCCACTCCCTTCGAAAAACGTACATTGTTACAACATGCGCGCTTCGCGTCTTCGGACCGACCGCCCAAGAGGCGTTCCAGGGGGCCAAAAGGCGGCTCAAGACAGACCACAGTCGGCCCAAGACGTCCCAAGACGGTCCAGTGTCCTCCCCACACGGCCCAAGAGAGGCCCAAGCGGGCCCCAACGGAGCTCCAAGAGGGTCCCAAGAGGGTGCCCAAGACCGAAGGCGAGGCCCTATCTGGAACGCCCCACGTGAGGGGTTCACTGCTGCGGCTTCAGGGTGCACGGCGACGGAGCCAACACCGCTCCCCTCCGCCCGCTCCCCTCCACTGTGTCCCCGCGCTCCTGGGGCATGCTGGGGTGCTTCTCAGCGAACATGTGCTCGGCAGCCTTGAGTCTTTCGTTGCAGGCATCCGTGTCGAACTTCTTGTCCCAGAAGCCGCATGACTTGCCGACGTCTGAGGCTCTTTCGTACTCGCGCCCTCCCTGGCGCACCTTGGAGGAGCGGAGAGCAAGTCATGATTTCACTTTTCAAGGGGAGCCAAGGACCAAAGACAAGTGAGCGGGCGGGACCAAAGACACGCGAGACATCTACGTAAGGAACATGCAATGAGGAAAAAAGAGCATGCCGAGCGCAAACATATACGTTGGCCAGGCAGGGCGGAACACTACACCCAACTGAGATGAGATGAACAATGTTCAAGCGCTTCTAAGCCGTGCGCGAATGCATCGTAGTCCTCGATGCCCGCCAACTCAGCAACGTCGATCTCCCCTGCGAGCTCGTAACTGTAGATGCAGTCCGGCTCGCCTGTAGGAACGATGTCGCCCTCCCCGCAAAAAGACTCGCCGGGCAAGCTGTACCATCGAGCTCCAGGATAATGGTTCGGGTATCCTTGAGATGGCATCGGGAATGGGTAGCTGTTCAAGTTGTTGCAGCCTACGAAGTAGCCATATTTCTTGTAAAACGGATCGCACGAGCCGTTGCCCTGCCACTCCTCCTGCCCAGCGCCATTGCACATTCCCGCATCGTAAGCAAACCGCACGCCAAAATGCATCCCGACTGATACCAACTCAATCGGAGCCGTTACCCTGAACCGGGCCCTGACAATACGAGAGATACCAAACTTGTTAGGCGTTTCAACGACAACCTCATTGTGCAAATACCACATCACTCCAGCAAGGTTGCCTATATTCACATTTTCGAACTTGAATTTGTCATCCGACGACACGGCACGGTACCCGAAGAATGTATAGATTGGGACTCTCTCCACAGAGATATGCCGGTGGCAACCCTTGAGGTTCATGAACTCACCAGATTTCTCACTGACGTTGAATTTAGCGCATGTCGAAACCTTCCCAGAAGTAGCCACAACACTTCCATTCTCTATTTGAACATATTTGCCAGATGACGTCTTCAATGCGATTAGAAATGTATCCTTTGAAACGTGTTCAATGGTAAACAATTCTGACTTGTCGACGTTGGTGCTGTTCGCAGTGATGATGCCATTGGAATCAACCGACAAATACGTGCCATACCAGGAAGCCAAAGCTACTTTATCGTCGCCACGTTCGAGTGTTCTGAATAATGTCTTCGAAGAAGATAACTCGGAGGAAGAAACAGCGAACCTGTGATCTCTATTCACCAGCTGCTCCGCGTCCACATACGAACCATCCCACATGCGCAAGGCGACCGTACCATCCGAATTGAGGCACACATCAAAGATCTCCCTTGCGCCTACCTCCGTGAAACTCGCATCAAGCATACCATCTCCCAAGGCGCTCCAGAAGTCGCCGCTGGAAGTTCTCAAAGACACCTGGCATCCCCCCTGATGTACTGCCGTGAAATGGCCTTCAAGGCCCACATTCTTGGAACTACTCGTCTTATTCATCATGCTCTTCTGCACGAAGATGTTCCTGGTCTGTCTGTCGGCTACCAAGTACAAGCCGCGCGAAGTCTTCAGCGACACACTCCTCAGAAATCCGAACATGCTGGCAGCCATGACTAGTCGTCGGCGCCCCCTTGCGGCTCACTTTAAGGATCCAACTGCTCCCAGCACGAAAGACAAAAGCACGGTGGCAAAGGACACACATCTATAGGATAGGCACCGCCGATCACGAACACAGTGATGTCCGTGCGGACCCCAGGCAGCACATCCGAAGACACCCGCGCCCCTTCCTGAGGGGCAGCGACAAGGGGGGCATAGGGGGGAAACATCGGCCCGGAATCGGCGATACGTCGCCGATCGATCGGCGACTGGCCTCCGACAGCAAATCCGCACGCTCCTGAGCAGGTTGGGGCCGTCGGGCCCCCATCGGCGACCAATGAGCGATTGGGGGTCGTTGCATCCCTCCTGTGCCAATCCCCCCCCCTCGTTGCCCCTGACTGCCCTCTCCCCCTCCCCTGGGGTCCGAGATGCGACTCGAAGGGGGCGGGGCACGCGGAGGGCCCTGCGGGGCGGAGGGCTCCAAGCTCCCCAAGGGTTCCCCGTGGGCCTCCGGGAGCCTTCATTTCTGCACCCCGTGGCCTCCAAGATTCCTCAGAGTCCCTCTGCGCAACCTTGCTCAAGCTGAGCTCCAACACGCCAAGGAGGCATCGAAGGCAACCGAAGGTGGCCTCAAGACGGCAAGACGTCCCAAGAGAGCTCCAAGACGGCCCCAGGAGGCCCAAACCGCCCCAGTTCCGATGGAAAACGCACAATTTGAACGTACACACCCTCAGTGTTTCAACAGGGGGAGGACGAGGACGAGGAGGAGGAGGGGGAGGAGGAGGGGAAGGAGGAGAAGGAGGAGGAGGCGGAGGAAAGGGAGGAGGAGGAGGAGAAGGAGGAGGAGGACGAGGAGGAGGAGAGTGAGGGAGGAGGAGGCGGAGGAGGAGGAGGAGGAGGAGGAGGAGGAGGAGGAGGAGGAGGAGGAGGAGCAGCTTCGAGGTCGGCAGGCTCCCGTCGTGGACGTGCTCGACCTTGAACGCCTGCGGGCGGCTTCTGCTCTCAAGGGCGCTCCTGGAAAGGGGGGTCCAGGGCCGGGATCGCCCCTTGTTGGAGAACACGTCTCCCCCTGCTTCTCCCCCCTCCCCGTCCTCCTGATCTGCCTCCTGCCCCTCGTCCTATCCTTCCACCTGCTCCTTCTCCCTCTTCCCCCTCCCTCCGCCCGTTCGCCCTCCTCCCGCCCCCACCACCCAAGTCTTCTCCCTCCCCATCCTCCCCGTCCTCCTCCTGCTTGTCCTCACAATCACGCTCGCGGCCCTCGCCGACGTGGTCCCGATCCCCATCACCCTCTGGACGGGAAGCAGTTTGCTCCGCCAGAGGCAATACTGGACGAGCAGACCTGCCGCTGGAACGTCGGAGGAAACTCCTGGGAGGTTTTCGCAAGAACGATGTAAAACGATTCAGCCCAATTCAGAAGTAATGTAGCCGGATTACCCTACATTCTCGGCCCAAGATTAAGCGGACCAGCGCCAATGCTGAATGTGACCACCTCCCAAGAGTAACCTGATGGAATGTTGGACCCGATGGGTATGAAATCTCATATCCTGACATCTGATGTTTCAATATTTTCAACATCTGGTCCCCGGGAAGATCGGCTTTCAGTCCCGAGTCGCTCGTTCACGGTTGCGGGGACTGGCGAGGGCCCCCAGAGGCACAACACTGCGAACATAACGTATGTGTTTTTCGCTACGCAACCCCTGGCCATCGCTCGGACGTCCATGTCCTGTGTTTTTTGTCGGTTTCGTGCGTGGCTCTTTCGCCAAATGATCAAGGATGTTCCTCGATGGTCCTCGCCGAGGGAAAAATGCACACGTCCGAACGATGCCAAGATTCTGGGTGAGGGAACGAGAAGGCACCAATACCAACGCTGCTCTCTGGACATCTGCCAATCGGGGATGGACAGACCCCCCTTTAGTAAAACGTGGTTTAGTGAAAACGACCTGAGGCCCAAACCTGGCGGGCGCAAGCCTGGAAAATAACGGCCACGGCGCCCTCTCGAGAACCGCAAACGGACAATTCACTAATCGACGTGTCACTGTTGGGGGTTCTGTCCACCCCCGAACCAAGGTGCGTTCTGTCCAGAATTTCGAAGACAATCCGGCCGTGGCGACGAGAGCTCTCCGGGGCGAGTCGCTGCATTGATACCTTTTTCCTCCCCTGAATTTACCAGCCTGGAACATATCCCTATCCCTATCCCTATGCTGGGCATCTCCTCATCACGATGCCAAACTTAGGGATTCCCTTTTTTTTTCATCCTGGGGGGCCCTCGGGGCTGCTTGGAGGCTCTGCATAAGGCGGTCGACTCCTTGGTCGAGCAGTTCGCACTCTGCCGTGGCGAGGGGGGGGCGGCCCTACCGAGGGGAGCTCCCACCTGCCGCGCGGGGTGCCGTGCACCCGCGGCGGCAGCGCTCGCCTCCTCGGGGCCCCCTCCCTCGCCAGTCGGCGAGTGACCCAAACACTGGCATCACACCAGACGTCCGCGAGCGCTGGGTGTTAGGGATTCCCTTTTTTTTGAGGGCGCATCCCTAAGATTGTCATCGCTTTTTGGCGTGTCAATCTTAAGGATAGGAATACGTTCGAGGCTGGTAATGAATGTCTGGAAATGCTGGTCCCCCCCAAGGTTGCAGCCCTTCAGGGCCCCGAAGCCGTGTGGTGACGGACCGCGTAGTGACCTTGGGATCCCCAGCGACCTCACAGCGAGGTGCGTCTCCGCACGGTTTTGGAACCTCGGAGCTTCAGTCGCCCGAGACGTCCTCGGCTAACGACCCGAGTCCCAAGCCCGTGCGGTGATCCCGAATGCCCACTGACTCCCCCCAGATCCGACGTTGCCAAAAACTGCAACATCGCGAAAAATCGCGACCAGCGCCCTAGACCCGATCTTTCTGCGTCATTTTTCGAGCGGGATCGATCTGATGGTCCCGGGACGCGAAACCCGGACGAAAAACGCTGGACGTGAAACATCATGCAACGCCCAGATCTCAAAGTCACACCATTGTCGGCGGCGAGCGAGGGGGGGAAGTGAGAAGGAGAAGGCCTTCTCAGAAGGCGGCGGGGGTTCTCAGAAGCCCCCGCGCTTTCTGAAAAAAATGTCCGTCCTCGGAGAACGCTTAGAAAACTTCTCAGACGGCCAGGGGACTTCCAAGCCTTCTGAAGAGGCCCGCCCCTTGTCACTTCCCCCCCGGGGTTCGCCGCCGCATTGGGGGGTCCCCGAATCGGGGGCGGCGGCATGTGCGCGGTCCAGGTGGGGGGGGGCGGGGATGTATTGAAATAAGACGGCGCGCCACGAGATCTGGGGAGGTGCCATGGCCCCCGCCATGGTATCCCCCCCCCCCCCTGCCACCCCCCCCCTCCTCGCCGCCCCCGACCAGTGCCCGAGAGCGCCTTCGACGACTGGCCGGGCGTGCTCGCCATGTGGAGCAAGCGTGGCTCGTCGAGGTGCTGCAGCTGGCAGTGCGCCGGCAGCCCGCTCGGGAACTTCGCCCACGCGCTCCCGTCCACGCCCGGCGTCCTTGGCGGAGGGGGCGCGCCAACTCCAGACCCCCTCGCTTGGGCGCGACCTACGGGGGGGGGAGCGAGACACTGGGGAGGAGGAGGAGGAGGAGAGGGAGGATGAGGAGGAGGAGGAGGAGGAGGAGGAGGAGGAGGAGGAGGAGGAGGAGGAGGAGGAGGAGGAGGAGGAGGAGGAGGAGGAGGAGGATTGCTAGGATTGCTACTACAAAGGAGGTCGGAGCAGTGCTACGCCTCCTCGCTGTTAAATTACTCGTAATTTAACGCTTCCTTCGGGGTGGAGGGTGCCTCGGCAAGCGGCCACTCTCCCCGTCCGTCCGCCTCCCAAAATCCTTGGACGAGCTGCCCACTACAGGCAACGGAAGTCCGCTGGCCCCCCCTGCGGGGGGAATGGGCCATGACATCCCCGCTTTCGGGGGCTTACCCAGACGGAGACGATTCAGCATGGTGCGCCCCGAAGGCGTACAAACCTTGGGGCATTCATCAACGAGCTTGCACAGCCTGCCTTTACATCCCACGATGGTCGCATATCGGGCGCATCCCCAACACCATGCCAGGCCGTTCTGCATGGCGATAGAGTGCGAGGGGTGCACCGATCTGCCGCCCACGCGGAGGGTTCTAACCAAGGTGGGGGGGGCGTGAACGTGGTGGCCAGTCTCGCTGAGGTCCCTCGCAGCTTCATCCCCGAGGTAATTCCCAGACAGCAACCAATCAATCACAGAAGACCGCCCTGGGGACTGTCGGCAGGCTATACAGCACTACTGGCCGTTCCCTAGACGACGGAGACAATGGCCCGCGCGGACCTCCAGCTCCTGAAAACGCGTGAGTTTCCCAAGCGACCCAACCGCCCCATACTCCCCACGACAGGTCCTATCTACCTCGCTGCAAGTTTGGGCCAGCACGGCCCCCATTCTCTGGTGGACCAGGGTGGCCCTGGCATCAACTAGGCAGAGGGCTTTCACCTGGCTCCTAATTAAATCCGCTGCCGCCTCGGCCCCGCGCTGGGCCAATGAGTCCGCCATCTCGCTCCCACGAAAGACTTCTGGCGCTTGTCCCGTTCGGACATGGGACTCGGCGTCTAGGTGCGAAAAACATTTACGAAAGACAACAGCTCCTTCGCCTCTCGATTCGGGGGCGCGCCGAATTCTGAACCACCATCTTGCGAGGGGCCCCTGGGGTCGCTCTCCGAGGCCTAGGTTCCACCCGTCGAAGACAAACTGGCAATCCGTCCAAAGCAGAATCGGGCCCTTGGTAGCCTTCAAAGCCCAGCAGAGGGCCGCCAGCTCCGCGGCGGGCGCAGTCTGCACCCCGTCGATGGTTCCATACAGCCCTCGGAGAGCTCCCGGGTCCACGTCCAGATCAGCCTCTCCCTCGACACGGAAGTACACCCCCCAGCCAACGCGGCAGACTCGGGCGTCACTGGACGTGGCGGAGCCATCTGGAAAACCTTCTTGGACCCTGAGGGGGTAGAGATCCGAGGAGAGGAGGTCGAAAGAAGGGTCCAGGTCAGGCGGAGGGAGACCCACGGCCCAGACATCCTGCCCCAGGCCCGAGTCCCAGGCAGGTGGTGGGGGCACGGGGTTCCACTCCGCAGGGACTATCCCTCTGGTCCAGAAACCTACATTCTTGCCCTGGCTTAAATCTGTTTTAGCAACCTCACACAAGCGCTCCGTGCGCGCTACCCACGCGTGCTCCATCAGCTCGTTCTGCGGGCAGTCGTGCAGGCGGTGGGCTATCGCGTCCTTGGCCAGGGAGCAGCGCGGGCAGTCATCGTCCTCGACCTTGTATCCTGCAGCTTTTGCTCGTGACTGGGTCCAGATACTGGCTAGGGAGTTGGCTTCCAGGGCTCCCGCTTCCGCCGGCCGCCCTTGCCTCCTCATCCTCCGTAGATTGACCCGAAGCATATGGAGGTCTCCGCCTTCAGCGAGCCCCTGTCCCAGCGGATGATCTCCAGCCTGCCTCCAGAGCGCTCTGCGGATGGATGCGCGAAGTGCCTCGAGGATGTCCCCGCGCTCGCTGCTCGCCTCGAACAGCCGTTCATCCCCGTGCTCATCTACCCACCTGTCTGGCGCACGCGGTACCCATCCGAGATCCCGCAACGAGGATGAGTGCTCCCATCGGTCCAGTAGTCCATCGCCACCGTGCTCTCGCTTCCAGGTAGATCAGCCTGCGTAATACAGCCAGCCAACCTCTACGCACCCTGTCATGGAGCTCAGGGTGGGCACGCCAGAACTGCAACCAATGCTTGACCTGATCCGTGGCCGCGCTCATCCTGGGCTCGTCGTCCTGGTAGTGCATCAGCATGATGGTCGCACTGCAGCGCCCCCCCGCCGCGCGCCCAGCGAGGTCGGCGGCTTGGGCTCGCCGACGCGCCACTTCCGAAGGAGAGATGCCCAAGACGGGGCCCGCGTAACTGAACTTCGCCCTGATGTTTGCGGCGTGCAACATGATGCCCTTGGTCCTCTTGTTGCCGCGACCTAGTCGTCGGAAAAGACATGCGCGGGTAGCTCTCGCCTGGGCCACGCTCATGCGCCCACGTGATGTAGAACATGCCCTTCTCGTCCCCATGGAGCAGTCAACTCCTAGGTCCTTGGCCCACTTTGTCTTCTTGATGTGGACGCCCGTGGCTTCGGCAACGTGCTTCAACACTTGGCCCCCGCGCTCGGAGTTGGTCATCATCAGCAGAGATTTTGGCGAGACTTTGAGGCCCAAGGCAAGCGTACCCTCGACCAGTGCACCTGTCACGTGCTTCGTCTGCTCCAGGACCAAATGACCTGGTCCTTCAACCCTGGTGTGGACATCATCAACGCACGGTCGAATCCTGGCGAGAGGGGCTTGAGCATGTGCTTGCTCGAGTAGTCGGTAGAGGAAGACTCGGGCGCAATGATTGGCAATCCCGCATCCAGGCACGATGGAGCAGTTGGGAATGATCGCGCTTGCGCGAGCTCCGTTGGCCTTCACCACGCGCGGGGCCAGGTAGGTGAGGCAGCAAGGGTAGAGCCCGACGGGCGGGAAGTCGAGGTCCAGGGCCTGGCGGATCATGAGCCCCAGATCCACATGGTCGTAGAACTTCTCGACGTCGACCAGGAAGTTGCTCTGCTCGCTGATGCCGATGTGCGCCCCGGCCCCATCCAGCACCATGGTGAGCAGGGCGGTCTGGAGCGCGTTGCCACCCTTGACTGCGGCGTCCCAGTGCGAGGCCTTAGCGTCGCACCACTCAGTCAGCGGGGTCTTGGTCATGCGACCCCAGATGCGGACGGGCATGGGCAGCAGGCCGATGTCACGCTCGTTGCCAATCTCCTGCTTAGAGCCCTTCGGGGGCAGGGCGAACCAGTTGTGGAGCAGCTGGTGCGGCCGCGCGACGCTGCGCTCGATCATGTTCAGGAGCGCGACGAAAGCCTCCTGCCTTTTGTCGGGGAGCGCCATGATGTGGGATGGCGCCCATTGGTCCGAGCCCTTGCCCGAAGTCTTCGGAAAAAAGCGAAGCGCCTGCACCGAGCTGCCACGGTCGCGGCAGGGCCGCTGCGCCAGCTCACTGCGGGCACGAGTGCGGAGCTCACCGAGGGCAGCGCGGATCGCAGGCAGCCGATGCGACTGGGACGTCCATCGCTCCGCCCAGCAGGCCGCTCTGATCTCCGTGGCCCTCTGCACCGTGTCGCGCGCCCCTTGCCCCGCGGGGTCCGCGAAGGTCTCCGCCAGCGCCCGCTGCTCCAGCTGCTTCAGGTAGCGGTGGGCACCCTTCATGGAGCCCTTGGTGCTGCTGATCGCCCACTTGCCGATCTCGCCTCGCGTCTGCCGCCGCGCCAGGCTGGCGCGGCGCTGGGCCCGCGCTTGAACTTTCATGGCGAACAGCTGCCAGAGGTGGAACTCCGTGCTGTGCTGGATGCCTAGGCCCATGGTGATGACACTTTCGCCATCTCGGAAGACTCTCCATTTTACCTGCTGGTCGTGCTCATGTCCTTGAGGCACAGGGCCTTGTCTGTCATGGAGAGCCTTGAGCTCAGAGAGAATAAAAGAAATCGTGAACTTGACCTGACGTTGGTACCTCGTATGCTTGGAACGGCCCACGGCGATGAGCCGCTCCTGGACCCTGGCGCGCAGGCTCGCCCAATGGCTATTCACCTCATCGGCCGAGGAATGCCCGTAGAGAGAATGCTGAGGCTGGCGCGCAGCCTTCTGCCAGCGGTAGCGTGCTGGCAGTCCTCGCCGTGCTGATGCCTTGGGCCCGGCCTCGCAGAGCTCGGAGAGGTGCCCTTCTGCCGCGGCGGACCAGACGGCGCGCTGGCGCGCCAGCACGTCACTCATGCGCGGGCCCCCCTGGTAGGCGAGGCTATGCCTGGCGTCGGCCGCGCTCTGCAAGTTGCCGGCGTCGACGATCTGCTGGGCCTCGCGCACGTGCGAGAGCCAATCCCTGTCATCGCACCGACGGCCGCGTTGCTGCACGTAGTGGTCGTCCAGCAGGTGGTCATCGTCGTCGTTCAGCAGGTCGCCGTGCTGTAGGTCCTGCGCATCTCGAGCTTCCTGCAGCTTCTGATGACGCTGTCGGTCGCGCTGGCATCTCTTGACTCCCTTGGGAACTCGGACTACCCCCTGTGGTACCTCAAGACGGACAGGGAGACAGGGGGCCCGCAAGAAAACAGAAGCTGAGCGTGCCACCACGCGGATGTCGAGGCCGATATGCGGGCCCCATGGCAGATTCTGGATGGGGCGCACGCTGCCCAAGAATGGGCGGAAGCTTGGTGGGATGATGACGTAGTCGATCATGCGGCCTTTGCCCGACGTGCAGGTGATCTTGGCCCCCTCTGGGGTGACAACCAAACCGTTCAGCGCCTGGAGCCAGCCCGCCTCCATCATTTCCTGCGGGGTAGCATTGAAGCCGCCCGCCAAGAGCCAAGGGATTCCAAGCGTCTTGACTATGCGGAGGATCGCATTCAACGTACGTGCGTTGGCGCCGATCGGGCCGATGGAGCAATCAAGGTAGCACGCTATGAATGCAAACGTGGCACCGTGAAACCGCCATAGCACCACTGAGATGTCGTTGAGCGCGTCGTGGTACACGCTCTTCCCGTTGGAACCTTCCAGGTGGATGCCCGTCGCGTAGGTTGCCCGTCTGAGCCAGCATGCCCCCCCCCCATGCGTGCCCTTCTTCGAGCGCCCCGTTGCCGTGGCAGCCGTCCAGGTCCCTTCTGATCTCCAACCAAAATTGCAGAGCCTCTTTTCTTCCCTCTGGCACTTCACTTGTGGCAAGTGATGCTCGGCCAATCCAATGACGTCGAACTGAGACTCCTCGATGAACTTCTTGACCTTGGCGCCGTAGCTCGTCGCGTTGCCAAAGAAGATGGCTGCGTGATCCCGCTGGGCGAATGGTACTCTGGATACTTCGTGAACTGGGTTACCCGCCTGGCGTCGGTGCCGTGGCCGCCGCAGGCCCTGACTCCTTCGCTGCGGGGGGGGGGGGCACTTTGGTAGGTGTGGATGTGGGTTTCGTACGTGTGGATTCAGCCGCAGCTGCCCTGGCCTTGAGAGCAGCGGTGCGCTGCATGTAGACGTCGACGTTCTTCGGATCGCTGAAGTCGGGCGGCCCTGGCGTCGGGGCAGCACTAGCATCTTCAGCACCTTCTCCACGAGCTGGGGCATCTGCAGATGCACCCGCAGCCACTCCTGCGGCACTGTCGGCCTTGCGCCGCTTGGCCGTGGTGGCCTTCTCGCGGAGCTCCCTGAGGGTGCTGGCCGCCTCCTGCGCCTTCTGCCCGATGTCCGCCGCCGACTGGTACACCTGCTGGCCTTCTTCGCGTGCTGCAGGGCCTCCTCGTACACCGCCTTCTGCTCTGGGGTGAGGAGCTCGATGTCCTCTGCGAGCAGCCCAGGGAACTTGAAGCTGTCACTAGCACCTCCCTTGTCGCCCTCGGATGCGACGGGGGTTCCCTGTCCTGCCCCTTGCGCGGCTGACGTGAGGTGCGTGAGGCGGTTGACCTCAGCCTGGGCCTCAGCACAGGCGCGGACGTTCTCTTCCAGCTTGTCCAGCAACTCCTTGCCGTGCTTGGCATTGGCCACCAACTGGTTCTTGAGCTTGCCCTGGGCCGTGTGGAACCTCCGCAGTTCGGCCGCATACTGCTCCAGGAGGACCTCGGGGGCCTTGGGCGGTGGCGGCTTAGCAGCCTCGCCCAGCTCGGGGCAGACCAGCAGCATAGCATGGACCTGGTCGTCCTGCTTGGCGCCGAGGGCAGCGTTGAACTTCGGGAGCAGCTGCTCGAGGAGGCCGCCGCTGGCCTCGCCATCCTGGATGGCGAAAGTGACCTTCTTCTTGGTGGCGGTGGACTGCTTGGGCCATGGCGTTCCACAGGTGCGGCATGACTCCCATCCAGCCGATCCCGCCCGATTGCATTAAACCCAAGAGCCAGGACAATTCCGACAGACAAAATACGCTTGACGACGCTTGCCATGTGTAGACGGGGGCCTCGCACCATCTCTGCTCCTGGCCCTCGCACTGCCACTGCGGCCCATCAAGAATTCACAACAAGTTCAGCACTCGACTTCTGCCGCCTGAGGCGCCCCTCAAGCCGCGGGAACACGTAGCGGCCACGCTGGTGACCGCCCGCGCTCGGTACGCGCGAGTGCCGTGCGGGCGGGGGACCTGTTCCCAAGAGGCCCCTCGTGCCGCAAATGGCTTGAGGAGGAGGAGGAGGAGGAGGAGGAGGAGGAGGAGGAGGAGGAGGAGGAGGAGGAGGACGACGAGGAGGAGGAGGAGGAGGAGGAGGAGAAGGAGGAGGAGGAGGAGGAGGAGGAGCAGCAGCAGAAGGTGGAGGAGGAGGGGAGACAGGTACCCCCGTCGGGCCCTGAAGCCCCCCTTGGGGGCCCTCAAAGGGCCCCCTTAGGGAGCCCTACAAAAGGCCCCTTTTCTGCAGCCCTCGCAGCTACCCCATGTATCGCGCGTCGTGAGCAAATAACGACGGGAGGTAATTCCCCGAATAGCGTTTCGTTAGAAACTTCGAATTGTGCTTAGAAAGCGCGCGCACGGGGGACGGGAAACCCGATAATGCCGGTGCCGGCAGCCTTTTAGCCTGAGACATCCTCGAATTTCCCCCCAAGCAAAGGCTGGAATGACATTTGCCCAACTTTGTCTTGATGGTCGTCTTGCTTCATCAATCTCTGTTGCAGCAGGGAGGCGATCGCGCCACAAATCTGGGCGCACCCAGATCGCCAAGTGTCTGCTGATGCCTTGCAGAATGTCCACCACGGTGCACATGGCCGTGCTCTCAGCGCTGTCACACGGCAACGATCCCTTGTAAAACATGCGATCCGGAGCGCATGGCCCTGCTTTCACCCTGGTCACACGGCCATGATCCCAGATAAAACATTCTCTGCGGTGTCCCTGGAAGTGTTCTGACCCCCCTTGTCACACGGCCACGACCTTGTAAACCGTACGCCACGGTGCACATGGCCGTGCTCCCACCCCTGACACACGGAAACATCCTCTGCCCTCCAAGGAAACGGATGGCGTCGAGCAAGGCTTCGCAAGGGTCCCTGAGGTACCTTCCCGCACGAGACCTTCCCCGTTCTGGCGGCAAGGCAGAGGAGGAGGCGGAGGAGGAGGAGGAGGAGGAGGCGGAGGAGGAGGAGGATGAGGATGATGATGATGATGAGGAGGAGGAGGAGGAGGAGGAGGAGGAGGAGGAGGAGGAGGAGGAGGAGCTCCTCGGTGAAGGGGGGTGGGTGAGGTCGCAACAGTGCGGACGGCGGGCGCTTGGGCGCGGGGATACAACCGCCCCCTTGCGCCCATCTCTTGTGGCGGGAGGGGCGGCGTCTTCAACGACGAGGGAGGCCGAAACACACAAACACGTCCCCCTCCCCCTCCCCCTCCCCCTCCCCCTCCCCCTCGCATGGCGAGGAGAGGGGAATGGGACATTGAGGGGAGGGGGCGGCCAGAGCGGCAGGGGAGAGGGAGGGCGAGGGGGAATGGTGGGAAGGAGCAGGGGGGCAGACGAGGCGCGCTCGCGCCATAATTACCAGACATCCTGCCGACCCCACGCGTCGCTTCCCATTGTGGTGTTTCGTTTCTCTGTCCGCCGACAAATGTCATGGTTAGGGGAACAACAAGTGACATAAACATAGAAACTCGGAGGTCCGCGCGGATTTCTCGGATCGGCGCCGGGGCCCCCCGGCGGCGCCTTTGGCGCCGCCCCTGGCGCGCTCCGCGCGCCAGGGAGGGGGGGTCCAGCGCCGATCCGAGAAATCCGCGCGGACCTCCGAGTTTTATGTTCATGTCACATGTTGTTCCCCTAATGGTGGACCTGGAACCTCCGAACGGAAAGGACACCATCGAATTCTGCGCGACCAGCAGGGGGGCCACGCGGCCACGCGGACCTGTGTACATTGCAGGGGGGAGGCAGGGATGAGGTGGGTTGGATGGTGGGGAGGGGGAAGGATTATAGAAGGGGAAGGGGAAGGTGCAGAGAGTCGAAAAAGCAGGAGAAAGGGGGAAGTGCGTCTCCGTCAGCTCACGTCCGTACTATTTCGGGCGCAGATCGAAGATTGGGGTCACGGCAAGTGAATCCTCCTCCTCGTCCTCCTCCTCCTCCTCCTTGTCCCGCTGGTGCCGCTCCTCCCGCCTCTCCTCCTTCTCGCCCTCCTCCTCCTGCGCTGGTGCCGCTCCTCCCCTCCTTCTTCTCGCTCCTCCCCTCCTCCTCCCGCTGGTCCCGCTCCTCCTCTCTCCTCCTCCTCCTCCTCCTCCTCCTCCTGCTCCTCCTCCTCCTCTCTCCTCCTCCTCCTCCTCCTCCTGCTCCTCCTCCTCCACAACATCCTCCTCTCCCCATCACGCTTCTCCTCCTCAGGCTATTGACCCTTGGTGCTTGAACTCAGGGCTCTGTCCAATCCAAGGCATCAGGAGCCTCGAAACAAAAAAACAACGCTGGCGTACCACCAACACGAGGCTGAACATGCAACCAAATTCACCAAGCGGTACGAACCACATTTGGTAACTCGTAATTTCTGACCCCTCCTCTCGATCAGAGATCGGGAAGCCCTGAGCTCAGCAGCCATATCTTCGGCTCTTCGGTTACGTGCCTCACTTATTCTGGGCCTCCAAGAATGACAAATGGGGCCGGAGCAAGAGAGCTGGTAACACATGGTTAAAAAGGGCCGGGCGCTTGTATCCGACAATACGCTTTCGCTTTGAAATCTGGGCATCCTGTTCGGAGGATGGCCGTGGGGCCCTCTGGAGGAGCTAACAGAATCTGAATGCTGCTGCGCCAAGTAGTACAACAACCACCACATCACGACGAGCACGATGAGCAGCGCTCCGATCAAGGCAACGGCACTTTTGTTCTTCTTCACGATCTCGTGCAGCCTCGCAGAGGTTTTCTTCACGGTCTCGTGCAGCCTCGTAAAGCCTTCATCCTTCACATGGCGCGCCTTGCCCACGTCGTTCAATGGCACGGCGCGGTCATCAGGATCATCGGACACCGGCGTCCAATCATCGGGCATCACAGGTATCGAAAGAATACCATGCCTTGAGCCCGCGAGCTCCAATCACAGAGTCAGGAAGGAGGCTTCTGGAAAGAACTGGATCATAATGTTGTTTTCCTCGCCCGCGATCCGCCCGCGCCCCACCCGTCAACCCGCCTGAGACCAGCGTGCGAGCCAATCGCGACACACTTGGGGCCCGTGCACGACCCGTCCGCGACCGCCCGCGACCTTAGCTGTCTCTCAAAACGGTCAAGGCGATGTTCGCTTTCCCCGTTTTCGGTTTTCGCTCTTGGAGACTTGAGCACGGAGATAATACGAAACTCGAAAATGAAAAAACTGGCGCCACTGGGAAACGGAAACGGAACAGAGCAGCTACTGTTGAAAACGGCGCCCACCAGAACCTCCCAAGGCCACCGCAACGAGGCAGCATGTTTTGCTTCGAGCGTTCCCCACCGAACTATTCGGCGTTTGTTCCCAACGGTGCGCACTTCTCGTTTGAAATGTTGTGGAATGCTATCAGATGTGATGCTGCGCTACGGAGCCATCTTATCTGCAATGGCATGTTACCCCACGAAAGTTTATTAATGGTATGGAATGTTTAATTATGCTATGCTATGATGAGTTCTGAGGTGTGGTGCTGTGCTCTGTTCTGCATTATCCAGTGTGCAATCGCGTATGTGTTTGATGTGCTATGCTCTAATGTGATTGAATATGGTATGCCCCGCTCTGGCATGCTATGACTTGTCATGGGTGCTGCTATGCTAGCTGTCATATTAGGTGTGCTGTATTGTTGTGTTGTGTCGTGGTGTGCTATGCCATGGTATGTAATACCATGCTATTGTATGTCATGCTGCAGTAGGTTATGCTACGTTATGTTATGATATGAATGTTCCGACCTGTCATAGCCTGCGCTGGTATGCGATGCTGAGCTATGATCTGCTCTGCCAGGCTATTTGGGGCTGTGACCTGTTATGTGTTGATGTGCTCGGGTATACGATGCTGTCATATGGTATGCTTGCAGTGTCATGGTATGTGATGCTATACGCTGTGTTTATGTGTTTAGGTATGCACTGCGTTGTCATGGTGTGTTATGTTACGATGTGGTGTGTCACGATATGGTATCTATTGATCGGACTTGCTCTGGTAGGTGGTGGTGTGGCGCGAGGAGGGACTCTCGGGGACACTCGCGGGACCTGGGCTTCTGGTGGCCGCGGTATGCAAAGTGGCGTGAGGCGCGACTCTCGGGGACACTCGGGGGACCTGGGGAGACAGGCGTGTCCCCCTACAGGCGGAAAATAAGAAATAGTCAAAACAGATTCCACAATGGCCAACAAATGGTAGAACAAATCGTCCCCCAAAAATTCTGGGGGGCTATTTTTGAAGATGCCCCTGTAGAGAACGTGCCCGACGTAACGTAACGGACGTGAGGCCGGCTCTCAAAATCTAACGATCCCAACCCAACCTCTGTCGGGTAGGGAACAGCGGGCATGCGAGAGCAAGACTGGAGCGGCGGCGGCAGTCTCGCCAGTCGCGGGCGGAGGCACTGCCGTTTTCGACGGGCACGGGCTCGGCCCCGTCTACACCCTCGTCTGCATATGTCAGTTTCCTACGCTTTGCTTGGTGAGCGCTGCCATCCCGAGAGGACGGGCCTTGCTGGCTGGCACCCTGGACTGAGACGACTGCGTCGGTGGGTGTGGAACTACAGGCGAATATTTTTTGGGGTGGGCTGCACGTGAGCTGAAGACATACCGGAAACGCACTGAAAACGAAATAACGTAGCGGGCAGCGGGCGGGCAGGGAGAGCAACGGGGAATTGAAAATGGGGAGGAATACTGCTTCAGTCCCCCGACGCAGCCGTCTCAGTCAACAGGGCTAGCCAGTAGAGGCAACGCAATCGGAATGGCAGCGCTAACCAAGCGCGGCTTGCCCGGACGGGCCGCCCGAGCCCGTGCCCGTCGAAGACGGCAGCGCCTCTTCCGCTCCGGGCGCCTCCGACGGCGACCGAGGGATGCAAAAAGTCCCCAACCTGGGTGCGCAAAATGACCGACCACCTCTGAGGGAGAGACGGAAACGGAAACAAAACGGCACGCTGAAAACTAACAAAAAATACATCGGACACGGCAACGGAAACGGAAACGGAAATCCGTGTTACTTTCCACCAACATAGAAATACAACGGAACCGAAAACGGACATGAATCGCGAAAAATCAAAGCGGAAACAACCTGACCGTTTTGAGAGGCATCTTAACCCGCGACCAAGCCTCAGTGCATCGGCGAACATTCGGCGCCTGTGAGGGGCCCGCATTGTAATGTGTATACCAAATCGGCGCCTGTGGCGGTCTTCTGCAGAGTCTCGCAGGCAACCGATGACACCGCAGCCCCCTCTCTCTTAACTCGGCGGCGAGCGAGGGGGGGAAGTGAGAAGGAGAAGGCCTTCTCAGAAGACTCGAAGACCCCCGGTCTTCTGAGAAGTTCCCTAAGCCTTCCCCGAAGACGCAGAGAACTTCTCAGAAGGCGCGAGGGTTTTTGAGAAGTTCCGCCGCCTTCTGAGAAGGCCTTCTCCTTCTCACTTCCTCCCCTCGCTCGCCGCCGACTAAACGCAACTGTGGAGGCGATCGTGTCCTTCCAGCGTGGGGTGTCTAGCTCGCACTTCTTCCCGACCCTCCAACGGAGTCTCCCTTCTTCGATCGGCTCGTCTGCGCTCCTGCCTGCCATCTCTCGGACGTCCATGCCCCGCATTTTTTGGCTTCGCGCGCTTAAAGAGGACCCATGAGATGCTCCTCGAGGGTCCCCGCCGAGTAAAATGCACACGTCCGAGCGATGCCAAGCCTGCAAGGCCGACACCCCCTGGACCCCCTCCGCCAGAGTGCGCGTTGCTACCCTTTCTGGCTTTTCCGATGTCTGACCCTGCCTGTCTCTGGCTCTTGGCGCGGCCTAGAGGGTGCTCCAAGAAGTGAGAGGCCTGAAATATGGATGCCAAAAGGCTCCGGCCCCCACTTCCGCCATTCGAGGTGAGGAATAACGAATCGAGCTCGTGCGAGTCAGCAGATCACCCGTCAGCTGATGAGACACAATGGTTCCTATGAGTTCGCAACTCGAACTACTCATAATAGTCCATGAATTGGCGGATCATATGTTTGTTCCTTAAACGGCCAACTGATTGATGAACCAATGCCTCAAGCTGTGGAGAACCGGTAACGAATTTGATTGGCCATCCGTGTCCTTCGCCCCCCACCACCTCATCGCGCTCACGCGTGCGCATCGCTCCCGCTCCAGAGCCGCAAACATGGAGGTCTTGCGCACCTCCAACCCTTCGGGACCCAGAACTGGATCAAGGTGGGTTCAAGTTGGCTCGACGAGGCCGAGGGGGGCCAGACGTATGCCATGCGGTTGCCTTCCACTCCCTTCGACGCCCAGGCTGTCCCAGGTGGCCCGAAGAGAGCCCCAAAGCTTTCCGAGAGAGCCCAAGAGGGCCTCAACCGGGAGCACAGAGGGCCTACAAGGGCCCCAAGAAAGGTCACGCGGCCCCCAAGAGGGTCCAAGAGGGCGCCTGGATGGTCCGATTAACTCCCAAGGAAGCCTCAAGAGACTCAGAATACTGCCTGGGACCTAGGACCCAACCCAGAGAGCTGACAGCCAAAAGTGGAGACGGGGGCTTTTTTTGAGCTCCACGCTCTGCACCGCAACATTCTGCCTGGCCCTCTACTGCGGGGGGAGAGGGACAGATGTGTGCCAGCAGGGCCAAAGGTGTCAGACGAAAAAACCGACACGAACCCTGCAGGCAGAAAGGAAAAAGGCGAGGAAAAACTCGCCACGGCAGACACCTGGGCCGAAAAAAGGTGGCCAGGAGAGCCGACTAGCCCGATGAGGGCCGAGAGGAGCCAGTTCGGGCAGCCTCAAGCAGGCGCTGGGCCAGGACGGCCTGGTGCTTGCTGCGAGCTTCCTCCACCTCCGAGGAAACCGAGGGAGTGGGGACCTCCTCCTCCTCCTCGGCAGGCTCAAGGACTCCGTCCACGGAGCTGAACAGGCTCATAATGTTACCTGTGTGGACCCTGACCTCCCTCTTGCTGTACTGGGGGTGCAGGCCTCGTTTGCACAACGTGTTCCAGCCCGTCCGAGTGGTCTTGGTCGGACGGCCAACACATTTCACAGACAAACCGCGAACTCTCTGGCCCGAGGAGTGACAGTGGCAACGCACACAGATGAATAGAACGCTGCTGTCAGAACAGTCAAACGCTAAAACACGATGCTCAAGAGCCAAGAGACGGCCCTCGTCAAGCTTACTGCGACCACTGCAGGAACCAGGAGGGGGCTCGTTGAGGGCTCGAGTGCCGCGTAAACAAACTTCGCACCTCCACGCTCCAGCCCAGGGTCTCCAGACATGTGGCACAGGCGCTGAGGCAGCCGAGGGCTTCCTAAGCAATTCAACACCCGACAAATCTATGGGGTCCCACAAGGGCAGGAGGCGGGCCGCGAGGCGCAGGGTGCAGCGGGCCGCCTTGATTAATTTGTCCGTGACATCATTGGCTTCGGCCGAGCTGGGATGCAAGTCGACAGCATGCTTAGCGCCAACATCGGCCCAATAGTTGCCTTGCCTTCGCCATCTCTCTTCACTGGAGATGCCTTGCTCATCACGGTCCTTATGAGCAACGACTTTTTCCACAGGGAGGAGGGAGGACGCGGTGGAGTAACACTGGAGGAAGGCCCCCGAGTACATGCGCTGACCAGAAAGATGGGCCGCCTTAGGCAGGTCAGCGATCTTTACAACATTGAGGCAATCAGACAGGGCCGAAGTGTGGCCAGGAATGCCGAGCATGTGGGCCCACGTGTAGGCCGAAAACTCAGCACTCTGTGGGGTCTGAGGATAGGGCGCCCAGACAGGGGCTCTGAATTCGGCAACACACCTACCAGCGGAGTCAACCATGGCCACGCAGGACGCGGCCCGACTTAATTCACGGATGGGGTGCCGAGTGCACGAGCCGTCTATAAAGAGGGACCCCCAGAGCTGCCTGTCTAGGGGGCCGCCTACAGGGGAGACCTGCGACCCTACGCGGGCAGCTTACGCGCCCATGTCGGTGAAGACGAAACCCTCTTTTGCGTGGCTCGAGTGGGGACCGAGTAGATGGGATCGGAGGATCGCGCAGCATCGCCGATGCATCACCGATGCATCAACGATGCATCAGCGGTACATCAACGATACATCGACGAAACACTGGCGATACATCGGTAACGCTGGCGATGCATCGGCGACGCCGGCGTGGCGAAAATCGGGCTCCGCATCGAGCCGCATCGCCGATGCATCAGCGTTGCGGCGCGTTCCTCCGACCACATACTCGGACCCTATCTATTGCGGCGTGTTCCTCCGACCACATACTCGGACCCCATCTAGGAGACCCAAACCCACCCCGTCAAGTCTATCACTTCCGTGGCTCCCCTGCATGATGGGACTCCGCGTGGTACAGACTGAAACGCCGGCTGGGACTCACAGTACCGAGGGTGGGGAAGTCATAAACCTCTCGCAGCCAGGAGCTCTGTCCCCCCCCTCCTGAGAGGAGGACGGGGAGGTCATCCCTTCTTTATACTGGCCATCTCTCGGACGTCCATTCCCTGTGTTTTTTTCGGTTTCGCGCGTGGTTTTTTCGCCAAATAATCAAGGATGCTCCTCGATGGTCCTCGCCGAAGGAAAAATGCACACGTCCGAGCGATGCCAAGTTATAATTCTGGGGCTACGGTCGGGAACTTGTGCTTTGCGTGACACGGCGGCGGCCCTGGCGACACGCTATGCCATGCAAGCGGATAGCATGACGCTCCGCTCCGCGGGGCGAGACGCTGGGAAAGGCTCGGGCGACTGACTCTCGGAGGCCAGGAAGTGGATGGCGTGTCGCGCCGGAGCGCGTTGGGCCAGCACCCGCAGCGCGACACGCTGACGAAACTGAGCCAGAGTTCCCGACCGTAGCATTACTCGGGGGAACTGGGATCGGCGCGGGGGCAGCTAGCTAACAGGATAGAAGATCGATCAGTGGATGTCAAGGTGGTTATATCTGGCCGAACCTAGCTCAGAATTGGGTTACGAATGTCCCAAATTGCGTAGTGGGGCAAACGATCCGTTATCGACCCCCTGAGCAACTTGGGGCATTCGTTCCCAAACCCCCGCCATGGGCATCACCACCACCCTCATCAGATAAGGAACCCTCCAGGGTTTGCTCCTGAACACATTCCTTAACGAACGCCCCCACCGTCTCTGGGATAGACCGAAACAGGCCCGAATCAACAATTGTCCCCGACCACCCCCTGCCGTGATAACTCGGGGCCCTTAACCGAATCTAGACCGTCTCCCCAGGGCCACTTGTTTGTCCCAGGCAGTTTGTTGTCAGCCCCAGGGCCCGGCGAGTCAGGAGAGACAAGGGGGGGTGGCCGCTCCCTCCCCTCGAGCTTGTGGCACCTCCTTCCCGGAACTCCCTGGAGGCATGCCCGGAACGAGGTGCCAACAGCTCGAGAGGGTGGGACAGCCCTCCCCGAGCTGGTGGCAATGGTACTTTGTCTTTGGTGGGCGACGGTTAACGAAGGCCGAATCCAATCGAAATAATGAGTTCCTTTTGGACTCTGGAAGATCTACGTGCAAGGAAGGGGAGAGGGGGGGGCGCAAGGAGCCTGCGAGGGAAATCTGAACTTCTCGCAAGTCGGAACTCAAACCCCGCCGCCTCGGCTCCACGCTGTTCGAACATAGAGAAAGAGCTATCCGGGCGAAAGACCTAACCATGCGCAATTGTGAAAGCCGCGTTGTGGGTACCGCTTTCGGTGGAGCTCCATATGGGGCCACGAACCGTGTGATTGGTGTGCCAAACTGGGCGTCGGGCGTGTGCGGCCTGTGCCACTGGGGCCTTCGGTGGAGCCCCCTGTGGACCCACGAGCCGTGTGAGGGGTGCGCCGAAATAGGTGGCGGTCCCCGCACGCGGACCCTGCCACTGGGGCCTTCAATGGAGCTCCCCGTGGGGCCACGAACTCTGTTGGATTACGAACTGTGTGAGGGGTGTACCAAAACGAAAGGCAGTCCCTGCATGCGGACCCTGCCACTGGGGCCTTCGGTGCAGCTCCCTGTGGGGCCACGCGCCGTTTGAGGGGTGTGCTAAAATGGGTGGCGGTCCGCGCATGCGGACCCTGCCGCTGGGACCTTCGGTGGGGACCCCTGTGGGGCCACGATCCTCGTGACAAGTGTGCCTCATTGGGTAGCAGTCCCCGCATGCGGACCCTGCCACTGCGGCCTTCGGTGGAGCTCCCTGTGGGGCCACGATCCTCGTGAGGCGTGTGCCAAAATGGGTGGTGGTCCCCGCATGCGGACCCTGCCACTGGGGCCTTCGATAGAGCTCCCTATGTGGTCACGAGCCGTGTGAGGGGTGTGCCTGAAAGGAGTGGCGGTCCCCGCATGCGGACCCTGCCACTGGGGCCTTCGGTGGAGCGTCCTGTGGGGCCACGATCCTCGTGACAAGTGTGCCTACATGGGTGGCGGTCCCCGCATGTGGACCCTGCCGCTGGGGCCTTCGGTGAAACTCCCTGTGGGGCCACGATCCTCGTGACAAGTGTGCCTAATAAATGGGTGGCGGTCCCCGGTGGAGCTCCCTGTGGGGTCACGATCCTCGTGAGGGGTGTGCAAAGATGGGTGGCGGTCCCCGCATGCGGACCCTGCCGCCGGGGCTTTCGGTGTGTGTGCCTAAATGGGTGGCGGTCCCCGCATGCGGACCCTGCCACTGGGGCCTTCGGTGGAACTCCCTGTGGGGCCACGAACCGTGTGAAGGGTGTGGCAAAATGGGTGGCGGTCCCCGTACGCGGACCCTGCCACTGGGGCCTTCGGTGGAGCTCCCTGTGGGGCCACGATCCTCGTGAGGGGTGTGCCAAAATGGGTGGCGGTCCCCGCTGAGGACCCTGCCGCTTGGGCCTTCGGTAAAGCTCCCTGTGCGGCCACGAAACGTTGTCCTGGGTGGCGTTGACTCATGCGGCCTGAGGCGGATTGGAACAGGGAGGAGGGGGAGGAGGAGGAGGAGGAGGAGGAGGAGGAGGAGGAGGAGGAGGAGGAGGAGGAAGAGGAGGAGGAGGAGGAGAAGGAGGAGGAGAAAGAGGAGGAGGAAGAGGAGAAAGAGGAGGAGGAAAAGGAGGAGGAGGAGGAGGAAGAGGAGGAGGAGGAGGAGGAGGAGGAGGAAGAGGAGTAGAGGAGGAGAGGAGACGCGGGGCGCTGTCAGTTCAAAACGAGGACCCAACACCACAAGATGGTCGGGAACAGCTGCATAAACATAAACTTGTGGCGCTCCGCGCGGATTTCTTGGATCTGCGCTGGGCCCCCTCCCTGGCGCGCGGAGCGCGCCAAGTGCGGCGCCCGAGGCGCCGCCGGGGTGGCCTAGCGCCGATCCAAGAAACCCGCGCGGAGCGCCGAACAACTATTTGTATGGTGTTGTTTCTTCTTCGGAAGGGGCGGGGGGTAAACGGCCAAATGGAACGCAATCACATACGTATAGTTTCCAGGACTGACGCATATTCTTTGTGGTTTCGTTTTCCGCCACTGGGCCCCGCCGTTCCCGTCCCGTTGACGCAGCAACCGCCGCGCACCACGCGGCGGGGCTGGCCACGCCACACGCTCGGGGAACGCTTTGACCCCTGAGCCGCCCGCCCCGTCCGTGTTTTCCTTCGGCCGCGTCCCTCCCCCCTCGTCTTCCTGCGTGGTGGCACAAGTCGCCCTGACGGCGTCCCCGTTTAAGCCTCTCCTCGCCAGCGCAGTGGCTCTGCTCAGCCGCTGATGCCAAAACAACGTCTCCCAGGACCCAAGGCATGCGGCATGCCTGGGGCCCGCCCCTGGGCCGCAACGCGCCGCAGGCAACACCCCCCCCGCCGCGCACCCCCCCCCCCGCGGCTGGCCCTGTCGACCGCGGGCTCCGCAGCGGTGCGGGGCGGCGCGGCATCGTCCTGCGGCCCCCAAGAAACAGCAAGAACGCCCAGAGGGAGTGCGTCCTCGTTCTTCCTCCTCCTCCTCCTCCTCCTCCTCCTCCTCCTCCTCCTCCTCCTCCTCCTCGAGGCGGAGGAGGGGCGGGGGGAAGGAGGAGGAGGAGGTGGAGGAGGAGGAGGAGGAGGAGAGGAGGAGGAGGAGGATGAGGAGGAGGAGGAGGAGGCTCTTCGCTTTGCGTCAATCCTCCTCGCTCCAACTACGTAGCTCCTTCTCGCTACTCCCCGCTACTTGATGTTCGCTCCTCTTCCTCCTCCTCGCACGTGGCCGCGGCGAGCGAGTTCCTCTGTCATATACGTTCGAGCGCCCACCTCACTGTGGGTCGGATGGGCCTGACCGTTTCGTCTGGGATGGGGCGCGGGCTCTCGGCGTGAGAATGTGAAAAGAGAACGGACGCGCCAGCAGGAACACGGAGGGACGTGCGATACGGGATGGCGCAACCAAAACGGGCAAAATGGACGTCGCAAGAAACAGATCGAGAGGGATGTCGAGCAAGCTGGCGAGGGCTCGCGTGAAGAGCGGGCACGCCCAATGATAAGCGAGCCCAGCAGGAGCGTCACAACACCCGGGCACGCACGGTGTGTGTTTCTGAAAACGTCTGTCGGTGGCCCATCCGCCCATCAGCACTTTGAGCACGGCCATCGAGAACGAAACCACTCGAGCGAGACAACACCGACCGAACCAAGTCCCACGGGAGACCAAGCGCTTCCTCAAGCGAGATGGGCATCCACGGGGCCAACCGAGAGGCGAAGCATTATTTGAGACATGGGGCGTGCTGCGAAGCTGTGAGAGACAACTGCAAGCGCCGCTGGACTTTGGATTTGGGAGATTCATGCTCGACACGAGCATCATTTAAAGCGTCGATGGCAACGCGAGCGGCAGCAGTGATACGACGGTGCGAGCGGGCGCTGGGAACAGTGAGGCCAGACGAGAGAGGACGGGGGGAAGCGGCATCAGCAGAGGAAAGGAACTCGCAAGAGGAGGGGAGGCGCCAGAAAGGAGGAGACAGATAATGAGTATGGGTACGATCGACGATCGGCAATTCGTCTTCCGCCGTCCTGACAAGGACATGGAGAACATCGCGCCAGGACAGGAAATGGAGCCTGCTGGCCCTAATCAGGGCCGCCAGCGACGTGGCTCGGGCACTGGAGACCTTGAGGCCACCCCAAAGAGAGACTTCGAACCGCCCAGCCCTGGGAAGCACGCAGCGAGGCGCGCGGAACAGTCTCGCAAACATGACGGCCTCCTGTCGAGCAGCTTCACCGGGTAAAAAGCAGGAGTTGAATGACATACGAAAGAACAGAAGCCACGCGGCTCTCGCAGTTGTACGCAGTGACAGAAAACGGGGCGCCCTGGCCAGCAAGTCGCGAGCCTCGGCCCTGCCGCTTGGCGACAGGGGATCTCCGCGAATGTAGCGCGGCAGCAGGCCCGATCCAGAGCCAAAAATATCCGAGCAGCAACTACTTCAAAGGTCGCCCAAGGGGGCAGGCATTCACGCAGCCATGTCTGATATCTACGGGCGAACCGCTCGCTGAACGCCTCGGCGAACGGGAAAATCTTGCGCGTCGAGGTCTGAAGTTCCAGGGCCGCAACGCCCTCAACTGTCCCGAACACATGAAGTAGAGGTAGAACAGCGAGTTTGCGAAGTGCAGCACCGGCGCCATCCGCGCAACATCTGGCCAATCCAGCATTACGTGTAGCGAGAGCTCCGCCCATGCGAAGAAAGAAACAATATGTCGCCATCACGAACAACGTGCCAGAGGCTGGACATCTTGGAATAATGCCACACCCTTGATGGTATAGAAACACCTTGGAAGTCATGGGCGCGCCGTAGCACAGCACGGAAGCGCAGAGAGCTTGCGCGGACATCCGAGGAAGATCTGGCATAAGAAAGGCACCCAGCACTTAGTGGGGCCATGTGTGGCTCAGGCTGGGAAAGGCCAGATCGATGTCAAGAGATGCCAGAGCTGGAAGATCTATGGGGGCCGATGGGGGCATCGAGAAAACCCTGGCATACCCGTCAAGCTCAATGATGATACCCGTCAAGCTCAACGATGATTCTCCGGAGTTCTGGGGGCGACTGAATCCGCGTTGTATTTTAACAGCAAACGACGGCGTGATTTTGTTGATCTAGAGGAAAACGTCGGCCGCGATGATTTTGTTGTCCGTGTTCTCGAACCCCAGTGACCGCAATACAGCGGCCTCTCGAACGCATCTATAATGGAAACCCTCATACTTGTAGGCGCCATAAGGTAAAGAGTCAGGACCAGGGGCAGAATCTGAGAGTCTGGCTACATACTGTTCCATATCACGATAGAAGGGAGGGGGAACATCACGAATATCACATTTTGTAAATCACTGAGCAAGGTAATCACGACCAGCAGAGCTATTGACTTCCTTTTGAGAACATACCTGGCCCCAATGGGTGGAGATCTCTTTTGCATCTTGCTCTGCGCGGTCAACGACCGGGTGCCCGAGCGAACCCCGCTCAACTGCAGGCGCCGGTCAGAAGGCTCCCAGAATCGTCCTCTGCGAACAAGCCTCCGCAGACGCGGCGTGAGCTTGGATCGGGTGGACTCCGACTTCGCGGCATTCAGCTGCTATCTGGCGCGCTGTTGCTCGCGTTCGGCATCCTGAAAATGAAGAGTGTCCAGCATGTCTGAGAACTTCCGAGGGTCTTTCAGGGGAGCGCGGGCCGTCTCTGGGTCGATGTCGAGATGCTCCTGGGCCAACTCTTGCCGCAATGAACTCTGGGCCAACTTCCGATCGTTCCCCAGACAGCACGGCTTGTATACCTGAAGGGCAGGAACTTCGAGATGGGATCATTGGGGGCCTCCTTGAACAGGGCGCTTCGCGTCTGTCGAGCACCCCTGCGCAAAACTTCTCTGTGGAACGTTGACTTCTCGGGGGGGTGCAACTCCGAGTGGTCGCGCTCGTCCCAGGTCCGCTGCGCTAGCCCCAGAGTTCCAACATCCCCGCGCTGGGCATGGACAGGAGTGTCATCGAGCCCCGAGTGCGGGATGCATTTGCGAGCGCTGCGACCAGCGCGACGCGGGGCCGTTAGCAATTTGTTCCACGCTCTTGGAGGAACGCCACTCGAAGCTCGATGCCTGGCGCTAGGCGCGTGGAACGCTCGAGCTCTATTCCACCGTTTCCCTCCCGCTCGCTCTTCCAAGCTCGGCTACCTCGGTGCCCCCCTTAAACCAAACTCTATCATTGCGTTGCAGGAAACGCATGGAAGTATATGCGACCTCCTCGATTGCATCTACTTCTCTCGCATATTCTATGCTGGGCAGGCCACTTTCACTGACTCGCGTGGGCGAGGTGGCGCGGCGACTATCTACCCTTCCCTCGCCCCCTCCAACGGCTTCAGCTCCCAGGCGAAGTGCGAGCCCGAGGTCTTAGTCTCTGGGAGGGCACGGCACTTTTTTTTTTTTTTTTTTCGGCCTGGGCCCTATCTCTGATGATCCAGGAGCTCCTCACAATATGATCTCACACAAGAGCACTCATAACCATGGCCTTCTTGATTTGGAGACAGCTACGATTATTCAACATACCAAAGCGCAGCTAGAGATATCCAGAGGAGCTCCTGATCGGCATGTCCTTGTGCTTGCTGGCGATTTCAATGTGTGCGCTGATCCCCCTCAGCCTTGTGTTCAACAAACCCTCCTTCAGCCACAAGCTGCTCTTCAGGAGTGGCGAAGGCAGAGAGCGCCTGCGTGGCGGGTCTTTCTGTTTTCCGATGCTGGTCGAAACCGAGAGTGTAGAGCCTACTCACTATACAGCGTGGAGCAGCACACCTCTAAGGTCGATCGGATATTCACCAGACGCCCTGGGCATTTCCTGACGCGCCTCCACCCCGAAGTTCGAGTTCCTGATATGCCCGGGACACTGGAACAAAAGGGAATATCCGAACACGCGCCTCTCCTGGCACATCTTCGGCATCGAGAGACTCCCAATATGGACAAGCGTCCTATCCCCAAGGCTCTCCAACTCACGCGTGGGCGGAGAATTGTCGTGCTTCGAGGTGATCTTGATGAGCGGCTTCCATTGCGATGAAACCACGCCCGCGTGTCGATCCACATGAAAATTTTGAGCAGGGCACGGCCCTAGCAGAAGCTTCCGCGCGGTCTTCGTCGCGATCTCGATCTTGATCTGGTCCAGGTTCTTATCCAGAATCATCCAGAATCATGAATGATTTTGTGGGCAAGTATTTCCCGCTGGCCTGTACATTGAATCGCCGATATGATCCGCCCTCCTTGCGGAGCGCGCCAAGGGCCTGGCAGACCCGCCCAGCAGCCCACCCTGCGGCCCCCCAGCATTTGACAACGAAGTGCTTGCCGGCAGGTTCCCCTTGAAGCTGCCAGGGATCATCTTCCCAAGAGGAGTCACGTAACCATTGTACACCTGCGGCCAGCACTCTCTCCCGCGGCACCATGTGGGGGCAACGCGCCACGATGGTGGTAGAGTCGATGTTGCGGTCGAACTCTCAGTTCGCTGGCGGTGACGGCCTCGCTGGAAACTGTCCCCATACGGCTTTTGAAAGCATTGAGTTGTTCACGAAGCTGTGCGATGGTGACGTCTGCGTTGTCCATCCTTCTCTCGAGCGCGGCGCACCTGGTCTGGATGGTCTTGTCCAAGTTGGCGTAGTGGGTGCCCATTGATGATGCGAGGTGGAGAGAACGCCCTGCATGGCTGCGACGGCTGCCACGACTTTTGGCTTCGTGGCGTCAGCACGCTTCCGCATATCATCAACATCAACATTAGACAGGCTCCTCTGAGGCGACCGGGTGCCATCCCGCCGCAGTCTGCTTCCTCGTCCGCTGTCCTCATTGCGCGAGCTCCTGAGTCTGGCGGGGGCATCAAAAGAAATCACGCCCCACCGTGTAAGAAGAGAGAAAGAGTTGTGTAGGGATGTCCGCCCCCGCTTGCACGGAGGCATGCTCACTGCTGTAGGCTGCCC